GCAGGTGCAGGTAATGCTTGTTATACGGTGCATGAGATAAGCGAAACAAGATTTATTTACACACAAGACTGTATATTCAACTAGGATATGCTCGTTAAATATGTAAGGTGCAATCGAAAACTTGAATTAGTCTCAATACAAACATTAAAAACTTACCCATCAGTTTATCGGTATTATATACATATTGCTAATTTCAAATGGTGTGCATAGAGTATATCACACAAAAATAATGGGTTATCTTAACATCTTAACACCTGTTTTGTTGCCAGAAAAAAGGGGGAAAACCCTATTATCATATTTTGATTTAAATAATTGCATGCATCGTTTGCAATTTGTTTCATATTATCAGTCCCTTTAGGTCAAGGTGGAATCCAATTTCTGAACAGTTTCAAATCTGAAAGGCTTGAGCAGGAATTTATGGAAATCATTAGTCACATCACGGTTATGGGATTTAGAGTGGCTTTCCAGGTTAACAACTTCACTCATGAGGCATGGCAGGACGACTTCCTCATCAGTTCAATGGATTAGAAGGTACATGATGTGCCTAATCGAAATGTAAAATGTCACATTTAAAATATAAAATTGCTGGTTATCAATATAAATGCTCGAGGTCTTTAAAACACACGGTGGGCTGCATACAAATTCCCATGCAACATGGCTGATATATCAAATACTGCGCAGCCAAAGTGATTGCTTCAGATAACAAGTGTCACATTTTAAAATTAATTTATTCTCCACAAGCTTGATGACAACACACTTGTTTACTACCATAGTTTTCTTAGTTGGGAGAATGAAATAACTATCATTGTAGTGACAAGCATTCACAAGTATCAATTAAAATTTGTAAAATACTCACCATTTGCAAAGTAAAAACATTCAAGTTGAAAGCATATTAAAATGCAATTTGAATGCACATTCACAAATTGTTGGATACATATATATCAATCTTTACTTAAAGCTTTCGTGACTGCAGGAATTAATATCCTTTGGATATTTCGGTAAAGTCACGTAGATAGGTTCAAATTAATAAAAATAAAAGCAAAAACCACAAAGTTTCGATCACAACACAAGCGATCGTCATCAGGAGGAAAAAAAGGAGGCAAAGCTGCCGAGGCACTGTTTTAAAGATGTTCCCATCCTGCCACCTTGCTATGTTAGTTTTTATTTTTCCCGTGGCCTCGGCTCTCCGATTTTACATTAACAGGTTAAAATGTGTTCACACCAACGTAACCACCTCCCCCCGCCAACCTCAACGTTGCTGCGGCTTTCCGATCTTACATTGACATGCGAATTTATCACATTAACATCACTAGCCCCACCCACTTCTTTTATGACCCTTGGGCTACACCCATTTTTAAATCCTTTATATTAAGTTCGCGTGCTTGCTTGCTTGCTTAGGACCGTGCAAATCTTTCGGTCGTTTTTTAACCCACTTCCCGTGATCCAATCGAGCTGACATTTTCCACACAGACTCGTTGTGCCAGACAATTATTGTTCGTGAAAAAAAATTCCCAAAATTTTACACTTTTTAGGCAAAAAAAAATTATTTTACATATATTCAAATAGAACGCATTCATGGCTTTGGCTGAACGTCAGAGTGTAAGAGCCCAGAGCGTAACCCCTCCACAGGCCGTGGTGGAGTAGCGCAGTTGGTAGCGCCCTCGCTTCCCATGCCAAAGGTCGCGGGATCGATCCCCGCGTCCTCCACAGGCGAATATATTTTTAAATCCTTTATATTAAGTTCGCTTGCTTGCGTGCTTGCTTACGACTGTACAAATCTTTCGGTCATTTTTTAACCCACTTCCCGTGATCCAATCGAGCTGACATTTTGCACACAGACTCGTTGTGCGAGACAATTAATGTTGGTGAAATTTTTTTTCCAAAATTTTACACTGTTTAGGGAAAACAAATTAAATATTTAATTACCAATTGCTTAATACTGGCAGACAATCATCTGACCCATAGGTGGCAGCCATCTCAAGCCAGAGGACGAGAGGACTCTAGCCGCCACACATATAAAGGATTTATAGTGAAAAACTTTGTTTTTACGGGTTATACTTGTAAACCATTAAAACAGTCTGCCTCAGCCGCTTTCCCCCTCTTTTCCTCCTGATGACGATCGCTTGTGTTGTTATCGAAACGTCGTGGTTTTAATTTTATTTGTATTCATTTGAGCCTATCTACGTGACTTTACCAAACGACCCAAAGAATAAATATATATTTCAGTTTTAGGCCAGACATTACAGTCTTCTTAAAAAACTAATTTTTGGGTGTAATAACTGTCATGAGACTCTATGTTACATAAGCATGTAATTTCTGCAACGTGCTACATCGTGATAAAATGTACAAGGACTTCTATATAATGAAGCGTTGACGTAAAAAAAGACGCAAACACCATTTACAAATAATTGTCATGAAGTACCTGGATTGACAGGCATAACTGCCATATGAAAGATGGATGGCAATATGATGCCTTGAAACGGAGGTACAAAGAGTCAATGAAAATAGAAATAAATTAGATGAGCTGTTCCAATGCCAAGCATCTATAATGAAAACAATGCTAGATCATTTTAAACAGACATCACAGCAGCCACATGCACAGTCAGTTGTGTTTATTGCCACAACTTCTGGATGGCTGAGCCATGTAATTTTTCAAACCCAACTTCACGATGTGTTCTTCAATCACAACATTAAATTGATACCTTGCACACGAATACTTGCAGGGATTCGAGTTATTTTTGCAGCATAACTGATCTGATTAGTGGACAGGTTTAGCATTACCAAGCAATGCTTTCTAATGACCATTAAAATTATTAAATACTGCTCCTGCACACGCACCATTTGATTGTACTGTATCACCAAAGGAAAGCCAATGTTTACGGAGTATATGTTCAGATATTTTCCCCAATATAGAAATGTGTAATTTCGACCACTGGCTCAAGGCTGCCAATGGAGAGGAGCACCAAGAATGCAGACTTCACTTTGGACATGTCAAATGTAAGCATGTTTAAATTTCAAAAAGTTCACCATCGAGGACAGGGTTCGCAACCTGTGGCTCCAGAGACACATGCGTCCCTTTAAGGACTGCTTCCTGACATTATTTAATAAGGACCACCGTGTCGTATTCACATGCATTACAGTTCTTTAAATCGTTTGATTAATCTTAATTTTGGAGCTTTCGTGACTGCAGGAATTATTCTTTGGTTTTTTCGGTAAAGTCACGTATAAAAATAAAATAATAAATTAAATAATAGCATACGACGTTTCGATTGCAACACAAGCAATCATCAGGTATAATGAAATAGCGACATAGAATATAACCAGAAAACTATAGACAGACATATAAGCAGACAGATATCACCAAGATACATAGAGAGAGCAACCCAGGTACAGAGAGAGGTGATCGTCTCTGTGGGGTGGCCTTAAATAGACAGAGGGGGGCGGAGGCAGAGAGAGGGAGGGGGTAGGGAAAACATTTACATGTCAGTAAGGTAAGCAGGCTTAGAGGGAGACAGAACACACTAAATTAAATAACCTAGCAAAGTATCGAAATGTTATGTAAAACGACACAGAGAGTCGGTCAACACACAATTAACGCATTGCCTGGTCGATTACGTATTTCAAAGATTGCTAAGTTAGAATTTAAGTGTGAAAATTCAAAAGAAAGACAAAACATAAAAAAAGAGGAACGGAGACACACAGACAGAGCAGAACCTAAGAACGATACAAAACGAGTGTAGACAGAGAAAATTACACTAAATATACAGGCAGAGAGAGAGAACAAGAAACCCAGAAGTTTCTTGTTCTCTCTCTCTGTCTGTGTCTCCGTTCCTCTTTTTTTTATGTTTTGTCTTTCTTTTGAATTTTCACACTTAAATTCTAACTTAGCAATCTTTGAAATACGTAATCGACCAGGCAATGCGTTAATTGTGTGTTGACCGACTCTCTGTGTCGTTTTACATAACATTTCGATACTTTGCTAGGTTATTTAATTTAGTGTGTTCTGTCTCCCTCTAAGCCTGCTTACCTTACTCCCCTCCCTTCGTACTCATTGACATGTAAATGTTTTCCCTACCCCCTCCCTCTCTCTGCCTCCGCCCCCCTCTGTCTATTTAAGGCCACCCCACAGAGACGATCACCTCTCTCTGTACCTGGGTTGCTCTATGTATCTTGGTGATCTGTCTGCTTATATGTCTGTCTATAGTTTTCTGGTTATATTCTATGTCGCTATTTCATTATACCTGATGATGATTGCTTGTGTTGCAATCGAAACGTCGTATGCTATTATTTAATTTATTATTTTATTTTTATACGTGACTTTACCGAAAAAACCAAAGAATCGTTTGATTAATTAATTAGAAAAAAGGCTTATTGTTATTTTGGTTGCCGACCCCTGATCTAGGATTTAAAAGTCAAAATGCAAGGTTGCCAATTCCTTTGCAAATACAAAAAACCATAACTGCTCGTCTGCCATGAAATAATAAAATGAAAATAATAAACCCATGGTCCTATTATAACCCTCCGATATCATGAGTATGATTCATGTTGGAAAAAGACCACGTACGACTGGCGAAGTTCTCTATGGGTTGTTGCATTGGCTCTGCCAAGGGAGAGTGTTCTGCTAGACTTAAATATTGCTTTGCCAACATGTGAACCACAACTCACGTGCATCTGCCTTTCAAAAGCACAAAAAGTAAACTCTGCTTGTACACTTCGAAATTGTTTCCTGAAGGCAATAACTGTTATGAAGTAATGTTCAATTTAGGCACTAAAATAAAATACTAAAATTATATTTTGACAATTTTATTTCAATTGAAATAATCGATAAGAAATTGGAAACATGATTTAACACAATGCGAACCTTTGCACACATTGCCCGGTGGTTGTATTCCTGCTTGATATAACCCAATTTTATCTTGAAGTGGATTTGTGTGCGATGTTTAGTTTACCAAACTGACAAAGGCAGTTTAATCACGAAAGTGGAAAATACTGCATGGAAATACTTCAAAAGGAATTGTTTAATGGCCAAGAAACAGTAAATTGTACATACCACACAATGCAAAATGTAATTCAGTGGGGCTGCTTTCCTCTCGAGTGGAGTTTATGTTAAAACAGATTTTTTTTAAACAAAATAACATACAAAAACGCATTTTCTACAGCAGGCCCTCCATTTCCTTCATGAAAGACTCGTACATGTCATCCTTGGTGGCCATGGTGGCTGTAGATACAGAGGTCACGCTGGATTTCTGCAGGGGCCGCTGGGCTATGTCCTCATCCGCCCGCCGCTGGGCGCCCCTGCCCTTGGCCTCTCGCTTGACGCGCAGCGAAGTGGGCATGAACCGGGTCACGTCGGCTTTGGGGTTGGTGATCTGTGGCTTGGCGCTGATTGTAGCGCCCGCTGTCGCTTTCTTCTCGATGGTGGCACCAGCGAGTGGCTGCTGCTGCTTTTGCTGTTGACTTTGTTGCTGTTGCTGCTGCTGCTGCTGCTGCACCGCGATACTGGGCACTCCAGGGCCACCCGACTCATCCGGTTTTGGCCGCTGAATGAGGCTCGGAGGGGCACTGAGCACTCCAGGATTGGGAAGACCGCCTGGCTGACCAGGAGGGGGGAAAACTCCAGGAGGCCCCAGCGGGGGGGCCATGGACAGTGGGCGCATCATGCCCGGGCGTGGAGGAAGCATCCCTAAACACACAAGCAACTCATTAATCAGCTGATCTCTACCAAATGTAAGGCTACCTCTGAAAGTCCTTTCAAGTGACCTTCTACCAATTAGGGGCAGCAATTTACCCCACCTGATCTTCCACTGATACTAATGTTCATTGAATCACAATTAAACTGATATATCTAATTCCCAGAGCAGGAAATTATCGAAATTTAGTGCACAACCAAATTTAAAGTGAATAATTTTTCGTGCAGTCTTTGGGTGGCCAGACTGAGACCATCAACTCACTCCACTTGAGAACCCAATTTTCATCACAAGTGTTTACCTGGATTTGAACTCAGGATATCAGAGGTGCCAGCTCAGCAACGCTCTGATGTCTGAGCCTTAAATAGTTAAGGTGGCCAATTACATTATTGTTCATGTTTGGGAAAGATAGGATAACTCCACAGCATCAAGTCAATTGTATTCAGCACAAGTATAACTTTAGGTGGTGTCAAGATGGCCTAGTCAATCTATTCCACCAGTCTTAGGAAAACAAAGTGTTCTCTGTCTCGCCTGTAACAATACAAATGATGTTCCATCCATCCAGACCCGATAACAAATAAGAAAAATCATGCATATGCATGATTCCTCGATCGCATTTTAACATGCGCTTATTCTCATAAATATTTAATTAAGACTGATAATACAATTATCTTACAATTCTCAAAAGATGCTGTCATACATCACATGATGTGTTAAGTCACAAGGTTACGTCCCACGTAATTACATCATGGTGAGGTGAGGTGCGTACAGTTTGTGACAATCATCTTCGCAGGAAAGGGTAATCTCCTTTACACTGATTTTTATCACCAAGTTTTAGGCAACCAATCAACCAATTCGGCCAGTATTCTATAAGGTATTATAGCAATGCATGTTTACACGAAATTTAAATTTGTATTGAATCAGTTTAACGAAATATATCGTCACCTTCTGCTACTAACCAATGGGCAGCCTAATGCATAAATGCTTTTGACCTTAGTTGGAAAGATTTAAAATAAATAATTTAGTAGTAAAGTGGGAGGTGTCAATACCTGGGATTGCAGGTGGCATGAGGCGGGGTGGGGGTCCCCGGGGAGGGGGACCGGGGGGCAGACCAGGGGGTGGCCCTGGAGGGCGGCCGGTCGGAGGTCCTGGTGGCAGCATGCGAGGGGGCAGAGGCCCCCGCATGCCAGGCATCCCTGGCGGACGCATGAATGGAGGAACACCTGGGGAGAACAAACAACAAATCCACGGTGAACAAATGGTGCTTCGTCAATGCAACCTGAACGACGACAACAGACCAACATGAATTACTAATAACCAGATTGAAACATCTAAAGGTTTTTGCTTGTGTAAAATATCCATAAGTCATTAAGAGCTGTGTTGTACGCACAATGCATTCTGAATTCTGATTGCAGAACAAATTAAAATAGAATGTTAGGGACGTGTTTGAGATTCTCGAATACGAACGTTGAGCCTCAATAAGAAATTTTGGATCCAAAATGTTCTTGCGTTTCTGATTGATCAGAAAGTGTGACACCACTGGAACATGACTTCTAACTCTTATTGACAAAAGTGGTGTCACATGGTGTCACTTTTGTTAGCACAAAGAGAAGTTAAATGATTTCAATGTATGATCCTGAAAAACCCTAAATCATCCTTAAAAATGGGAAAGCCTTTCAATTCAAAACTCATCCCTAGAAAATATGTGTAAAGATACAGGCATGCAATTCCTTGCTCATGCTACTGCTGACAGAAGGGCCTCAACTGGAGAGGGTTCAAGAGAAACCCTCGAGAAGTCTTAATATCCACACGCTGGCTAGACGTCGAAAGAAGTAGGAATACCCACAATTTACTCCACCACGTGCATCCTGCTGATTGACTGTGGTGTACCCATTTATACTGCTGGGTGGAAAGAGGAAGGGGGATTTACGAATCTTAGCCAAGATGATCCTTAACCACCAGATTAAACCTAATATTCCAGCAGACTAAGTATTCCCTGAATAATAAGACACCCCCCCCCCCCAACTTCTTCTTAAAAATATCAGGACAAAAGTGTGTCTTATAATCTCGACAATATCGTACATGTATTGTAAGAGGCTATTTCAAGCGAACAGTAAAAAGAGCATTCATAACATTCACACGTGTACCTGGAGGCGGCCCAGGTGGAGGGCCAGAGGGGGGACCAGGGGGCCTCATTAGAGGTGGGCCAGGGGGCACGAGGGGTGGGGGTCCCTGAGGGTGCATCATCATGTGGGGAGGTGGTTGTGGCTGCTGGGAAGGCGGAGGCAGCATGCGTCCATGTGGCATCTGTGGGGGAGCTGAGGGATGTTTCGTCCCAATGCCCGGTGGTGGAGGAGGAGGCATCGGCCCTGTCTTTAGCTGCTCCCTGCCCATCCTGTCATCCGTGTCTTTCTTTTTCTCCTCTTGCTCAGCCTCCATGTCTTCATCATCATCATTATCATCGTCATCGTCTTCCTCTTCGATGCCTGGTACCTCTTGACCTGTAACGGAGAAAATGTACATTACGTCAATATTACATCTTGGTTTTAATATGGTCAGTGGAATATCAGTATACTTTAACTTTACTTCTCAGGCATTTTGATAATCCACTGCGAGATGAATACCTCTCAACATGGGGGTTTGTTAATTAAAATTCACCACACTGGTCAGTGCCGGTTGGTGAAGATGGGGCCCATCCATGGCTTGGAATCTAATTCAGGATGCCGAGTTCATAGCAGTGTGCGAACCACTCCACCACCCACCCCTGTAGATTAGTTCAATCCCACATTTGTGAAGTACCACCATGACTAACAGTTTAATTGAGGCAATAGCAGATCTTGCCTTGATCTAAATAATCTGGAAGCATTATCCAACTCTGTATGAGTGTAATATGCAAAGCAGTGGTGACAGCGAACTGCACGATATAAATGTGTAATCTGCATTGCTGAAATATGGGCATATATTGCGTTGCCTAACAAAGGACTTGACCATTCATTTCCACCAATGACATCAGCTAGCATTGACAGCTTGTGAAAATTATATTTTTTTAATAGACACTTATAGGAACTATGAACTAAAAAATGTCACAAGTATCTTGTGTATTGTAATACATCTTTAAAGTTGTAATGTGTGTAGCAACGTTTATTGTAGGAAGCCTTACCAGCCATCCTTAACATCATGGCCTGCAGCGGAGTGAGGCCGCCCTCTTTAGTCTTTTTCTTCTTCTTGACGATGGGTTTTGGAGGCTCCTCTGGAGCATCGGCGAAGCGCACCGACCGCCCTGAGAAAAAAATGTTGAGATTAAACTGGAGGAGGTTTTGGCCTGTATCCACGAACTATCCTGCTGCATACCCACTGGCATTTTATTTTAATCACCGTGTATTTAAATAGTTTTTTTACATGTTATAATTCTATTGTCTGTAGCCGTGTTTTTTGGGGGATTTTTTATTCAAGCTCTTTACAATGTCTTACAATACCTTTCATATTTAGAGGTTTCATAAATCAAAGTTATTATTAGATGTTAAGTAAATAAGGTCATAACTACAAATATCATGCATTGTGCCAAGACTGTAGGAATATTGAATTACTTCTAAATTACATTTTATGGCTTGCCCAAGATAGAAATTACTCACAATGGCTAAAAAAATAAGTGTACATTTTTACAAACCATGTCCAGGCTGCTATATATCATGCTTTTGATAGTGCACGGCTATATTTGTTTAGATGTGTCTCCACACAGTACTTTGTATTTGTAACAGAACAATTACGAAGCACATTGTATTTTTTACAAAAACGTATTCCCCAGTAATCATTATAATGTTATACCCAACACACATGCTGTGATCTCACTTGGCTAAATAGAATGTGTCATCGATATACCAGGCGAATTTCCAGAAAATAGCTGCTACACAAAACCCTGTAAATTCCATGAAGACCAAATTTTGCCCATTTACAGCTGGTCATTTTTAATATTGCTTTTTATTTATACACATTATATAAGTGTATTGTATTAACTATTGACAGAAACGTCAAATTAGCACTTAAAATCATGAAAATTACAAGCCAATTCTGGGATGCATAATCCAATGCTACAGTTGTTACTATACAGGACAGGACTAAACTGAGACTGGCTGACGATTTCAGTGTGGAAAAATAGCTAAGAACAAGTCAGCGTGAGTGCAATTTTGATTTATTTTCAAATTTTTCGGGATTCCACATATAATGTAATGTGCAGGACACGATAAATCCACTCACATTATTTTAAGAACACATTGTACGCACACGTAGAAGAATAAGTGCTGAGCTGGCACGAGAGGGACTATAACGAGGGGTGCCACCGAGGAGTTTCTGGCGGAAAGGGCTCACCGGACCGCTCGGCGGTGTCCTGGTGTGATGTTTTGTCCTGGTGTGATGTTTTATCCTGGTGTGATGTTTTTTCCTGGTGCAACATTTTGTCATGTTCTTCTTCATCCTTTTCTTTGCGCTTCTCATCCACGTCATCATCGTCATCATCGTCGTCCTCGTCATCGTCGTCGTCATCGCTCGAGTCGTTGTCCGTGTCCTCGCTGCCGTCTGCGTCCAGCCCCTCATGCAGGTTTGGGTCCTTGAGGTCCTCATCGTCCAGCTCTGGAACGGCTGCTCCGGCGCACGCAGGGGCGAAAAACGTAAGCCAGACTCATGGCAAACAGCTATAATCATTTCTACGGACATGACACGCTTCAGAACCACAGTCATTGTAAACTATTATACCCACGGTCAGTAATATGGACTAACATTTAATATTAACTCATAGCAAACAGCGACAGGTATGGTCACTAATAAGTGCAAGACGAATATGGGCCACATTTCAGTGATCGCTTACCAGCCTCAGGGTCGTATATCTCCTCATCGTCGTCTTCCTCATCATCCTCATTTTCCTGCGAGGGAGCAGCTGGCTGCACAGGGGCCGCACGAGGCCCAGACAGCAGGCCTGCTTGCATTAGAACCTGGGGAGGGGGTGGCCCAGGGGGAGGTCCTGGGGGCCTCCTGCCCAGCGGGAGCCGAATCACACCTGCGCCAGGGCCCACCTTGGTCGCACTGTCACACGTGACCAACAGAGGGCGCAAACCCAAGTCAACGAGAACATTATTCTCCAATGCGTTTTCTGGTTGTACACGGTTTTGTTCGGCAAATCTCATGCTGTGGTCCACATGCTCGGAGTTTAGTCAGGAACCTAACTTTAGGAACTGATCTTCGATATGTATGAATCTTAGTTTATGAATTAGCTTGCAGCATATGGAGCGAAGCATCGGAGATTATGCGAAATTATAAGAGGAACTATCTGAAAACACATCCGAGTGCTATAAAGAACAAACACACAAAACTAAAAACAGTAGTATCAATCTAGCCCCATGCACACCTGAAGGCGGAAGGCTTCTTGAGGATGGAGGGTGGCTGCGCGCCTGGCAGGGGGATGTCTTGGATGGATGTGATGTTGGAGGGCGCGTGCGGCATCTCGGGCAGTGGGATGCTCTCTATCTCCACGTGTTGGGCATTCTAAAGTAAAGAGACAATATACCACTTAGCAACATAAACGTTAGTCTGACTCGCAAGTCTGCAAGCTAACATATCCTTCTGAAGGTAGTGCAAATATATATTTTTTAAATCAGAAGTTGATCATTAATTCCAAAATTAGGTAATTAGCGATATTGATTAACTATAATTATAATTTTATATAAAATATTTATCTGTTATTTATTATCTGCACAAGTGGCATGTGGAGCATGTAATCGGTGATTGAGGAGTAACAGATTCTATCATACATTTTTTACCGTGTACTTTGCAAGTTACATGCAATCATGCAATTATGTAACCAGGCAGCAGCAATATGGTACTATTCAGTTTACAAAAACGTACATTTTAACAGTACTGAAAACCCATGTATTTTAATAAAATATTGCAACTTACAAAAAAATCTAGACTACTCACTATTAACCACACTAGCATCTACCCAGCAATAATAAACAAGAAAATCAAGCATGGATTTTAAGCTATTTTTCAACATGTTAGATTTATGAGTGTAAACCGAGTGGCTTTACTGGAGCCCACCTTGACAGCTTCGTAGTAATTGCACATCTGCAGGCGCTTCTGATTGTACTCAATCTCAGCGGAGCGTAGGTCCTTGTACTGATCGGGGTTGTCTTTCTCATAGAGGTGAAGGATTCGGTCCAACGTCTCCTGAAGTTTCTTACGCTTGTCTCTCAAAACCTTTTCATTCAAGATGGGTGTCTGTATGGCACTAAATTCTGCAACAAACATTCCACATTTTTACTCAAAAAATATCCTCCCATGTAAAAAGAAAAACTGCACTTAAACATACACTAAGAAAACAATTCCAATTCGCATTTGAATCAAGCACATCCACTACTCATATTCACACAATGTGTTAGCATCTTATAATGTATATTAAAATAATATATCATAATGGCCTCAAATGCATGAAGACATGTGATCGTGTTTGATATCTTGCATGTTTCGATGCCAATCTGTAACACATGGCAACTACTGCCTGCGACTGTTTTTCTAGATACGTCTTCAATACAAACGTCAAGCTTTTTATGATGCCCGTCTCGTTTTTTTGTAGTGCCTTGTTATAAAGCTGCATTTAAATGCTATACATATTAAAATTGCAACGGTATATAATAAATTATAAAAATGCATAAATGACATGACTTAACATATCACATAGTATGGTCAAGATGCACATGCTGTACTCAGACTGATCAAATGACTTTTTATTTTGAATGTTACCACATGTTCAAGATTGCTTTACAGGTGTCAAGATGTAAAGCAATCTTGAACATGTATAAAGCAATCTTGAACATGAAATGTGATACTGGTGGTGGATCACAAAAACTAAATGTCCGATTTCTACAAACAGCAAATAATTCTACAGAGCTACATTTAAAAGTTTGTTACCAAGTTCATCAAGTTTCTCCATGTCCCTCAATATCTGTTTGGGATCTTTCATCTTCAGCACCGCTGTCCGCACCATCATGCGCTGCTTTTTGTTCTGTAAACAAGAATTTCACAATAAGGTAATTTGCGATGAAGCATTTACAAATATTTAATCAAAAGCAGCCATACGAACACATTAATTTAAAGTTAATTAGCGCAACGCACTTTTAACGTGAATAATTTTAAAAGATTACTTTTATAAAGCCTTTCAGAAACATCCAACTATAAAACTGCTACAAATATAAACTTGAATCTAAAAGACCCTATCTAAAACAAGTCTGAAAATCATTTCTCTCAAATTTCAAAATGCCAGTTATATATGTTGTCCTGCCAATTTCCAACGTCCCAAGTGTAGATACAAATGAAGCAATTATAAGGCAAAAGTCGTGCAATTGTTGAATACCTTTTTAAGTTCTCTCTTTCTTGCTTCCTTGCCTGAATGGAAACATATTTTAGGAGAATGGTATAGAACGGCAATATTAAACACAGAAATTCCACATTTTTACATTTCTAAATATTCACAGTATACAATTGGGATATATTGAATTTAAATAGCATCAAGGCTCTTAGTTTTGAGATGGCAAGCTTAAGTCCGAGTCAAGGTTAGCTCAGCCCATTCAGGTCGATATTTATCAATGCGACAATAACGTTATTAGCAGATTGATCTCACTACTGTGAATGTTAGCATCGTGTTCGTGCTAATAAAGAAATTTCCAAGTGTTACTAAAATCGGTGGAAATGTATTCATATCGGTTTAATTAGTGTTTCAATAACCTTTACTTATCAGTAATTAAGTTGTGTCCGCGAAATATTATTACTTTAAGTACAATGACAGTAAAGTTATTAATTCAGTCATTGATTCGCGTATCATTGTTGATCATGAAGGCATCACAATAATTACTGTTGTACAAAAAAGAATGTTGTACAAAACTCAAGGAGCATCAAACATCACGCAAACTGCGATCATCATCGCAGCGGCTTTTAGCTGGTCATCGAAAAACGACGGCCACTGCACCGCCCGCTTTCAGATGCACTTCTGCGGCCGTCTGGAACGCTCTTCCTTCCCATATCAAGCAGCCACTGGGAGCTATATGCACTTTTAAATCTAGATCCGACAAACTAATTTCTTTACAACTTATTTTTGCGTTTAGTTCGTTGCCCTTCCCCCGGCACCTCCGATGAGCACGGTTGGCTACGGTACGGCGCGAAAGAAGTTCAACACACAAAGATCCCCCCCCGCTCCCCCGCAAAGCCTGTACACAGACTGTTCGGGCAAGCGCTGTTAGCGAGCACCTATTAAGACCGGCACAGCACACGAGGCGGTTGAGAGGCGGACAACCACGTCCGGCCGCCTTTGTCTCCCTCCCGGCGATGTTTTACTACACACCGCACCGGGTACTCGTGTCAAATAACCACAACAACAACAACAACAACAACCGAGGACGCCCACCATCGAAAACAAATCAACGCCAAAACGTTCACGTGCACCTGACGGGGGGACCGGGGGGGGGGGGCCGCCCCCCACCCCACCTCCCCAGCGCGCGCGCGCTTGCAAAAATCTTTTCGCAGCGCGCCATTGGCTCCCGCGCGTCACGTGGTGCGAGCGCGGCCCAATCAACGGCCGAGGGGGGTGGCAGCCCTCGCGGCTCGTTGCGGCCGAAGCGAACTCGGGGGACATTTGAGGCCTGGCGGGACTCACGCGCTTGGTCCGTGGGGTTCATGAATTTCCCGCTCTTCGTGGAGCTCGTCGAGCGCCGCCCCATCTTGGCTTCGCGTTGGTTCGCCCGACGAGAAACGGCTGCGGCGGCGGCTGCGGCGGCGCTCTCCCCCGCTCCACACCCGCACCACCACCACCACCACGAACGCCGCAGTAGCGAGACGCGAGCGGCCCCCTCTCAGCGACAACTCCCGGCGTGCAGCGCGAGAGTGGGGAGGGTGGGTGGGTGGGGGGACACGTGACGGCCGCCAGCCCCCGCCCCTCGGTGAAGTCACGTGCCCGCTAGCCCCGCCCCTCCCCCTGACGTCAGCTCGACCGCCTCATCACAGGCCGTCCATAAATGACGTCACGCACCTAGGGGGGGGGGGTCAGACATTTGTGACGATGGGGGGGGGGGGGGTGAAAAATGTGACGTCACATCAAAATGCGCAACTTTAAATAAATATAGACAACACGTTCTGCTTAAATTTAGATTTAAAGCGTTCGTGACTGCAGGGATTCATATTGTTGGTTCTTTCGGTAAAGTCACGTAAAAGGGAAATAATAAAATAATAAAAATATAAAATAATAAAAAATTCTCACGAAGTTTCGACTGCAACACAAGCAATCGTCATCAGGTGTGAAATCCACAGCAAGAACATTTTATTTCCCTTCTACGTGACTTTACCGACAGAACCAAGAATACGTTCTGCTTAATTAAATAGACTTTTTAACTAATGTTTTCTCCTACAACATCAGAGTGCAGCGCCACACTAAATACGCACGACAATGACAATAGTTTAAAGCGATTTGAAGCATGTTTTATTTGGGGGGGAGGGGCAGAGCTTTGTGACGTCATATTTGAGGGGGGGTCTGACTCTGTGACGCCGTGTGACGAAGGAGGGGGGGTCAAAAATCGTCCAAAATCGCGTGACGTCATTTATGGACGGCCCCTTTTGACGACGCACTCGCGTTTTAACTTTAAACGATAAACTCAGTTTAACACGTAAGCTTTCGTAACCAATAAATGTGTAAATGTTGTGGATTTACTCTCCAACGCACCTGTGTGCTGTACTTGTAACAAAATTGCATGTTGTGTTTAGGTGACAAAACCTTGCTAATAGGCTGTGTCGGGTGGTGGTGGGTTTAACGACACATTTATATTTACGCGATCTCACCCCCCAAAAAAAACTGTATTATAGATATGTCGCGAATCCTACGTGTTAAACAGAACACATTGTTGTCGCCTTACAAGTTGATAAACTATTTATTTACTTGATCACGGTACCTTTTTGCCAGTTTCAAAGTATTAAAAATGAGAGTTTTTTTTATCATTTCTGGGCAATAAAACAGGCGTTGAGATGTCCAAACACCAAATAGATCCTCTTTTGCAAGGCATCAAGTATTGTATTAACCACACGCAGTACTTGTGGAGAACATGCAAACAAACATGCTCTTTAAACACATTCCTCCTGCGGAGGGAGCTGGTAGGAACGTTGGGTTGCTCAGTCAATGGCCTGCAGGGTCAACGGCGGCGTGGTGTATTCTGCAAATATGCCCGACTGTGAGGGCGGGCACAAGCCGGCGTGAGTAGGTTAAACGTTGAGTTTTATAAGGGCACCACGAGGTGACCAGCCCCTCCCCACCCAGCCCCACCCCTCCCACCCCCCACCCAGCCCCACCCCTCCCACCCCCACCCTCCCCACCCAACCCACCCAGCCCCTCCCCACCCTCCCCACCCAGCCCCTCCCCACCCTCCCCACCCAGCCCCACCCAGCCCCACCCCCACCTAGCCCTACCCTCCCCACCCAGCCCCTCGCCACCCTCCCCTCTCCACCCAGCCCCACCCCTCCCATTTTTGGATGCACGACGGACGGACGGACACAATAATCCCCTGTGGGCTGGTGTAATCAGGAGGTTCCTACCAGTAATATATGGCATTGTCTTTGAAACTCAAGGACAATGCATTGGAATAGGTGTCAACCCATACGGTTTACCAGTACCCATGTACAGGGAAATGTAGTTTTAGGTCCATACGGCGTACAGCCGTTTCAATACGGGCAAAAAATAAACGTTTGTCTATTTATGTGTTTCTCCTTTGTGATGGGACTTTATAGGATGAACGTTGAAATGTATAAGGGCACGGGGTGACCAATAAGGTCTGAATGTCTGTAATAAGGTCGGCACTATAAGGGGTTGACAGGTATGTCTTGGTGTAGGCCAGTTTCAAAGACAATACATTCACTGCAAGTACATGTGGTTAATGCAGACATGATTCCTTGCAAAAGGTATCTACAGTATTTGGTATTTAACATCTGAACAGCTCTTTTATTGCCAGAAAGGGTAAAACCTATTCTTATTTTTCATGTTTTTGTTATTTTACCAGGTAAGGCCCAGTGAGCTCGCTATGTGGCTCTTTCTCAGAAGCGACCTGACCAGAAAGGATGGCGCAACTAAGTGGCTTAGATTTCGATTTAAAGCTTTCGTGACTGCAGGGATTTATCTTCTTGGTTCTTTCGGTAAAGTGGCTTAGTCATGTGGACATGTATATCAGTAGCCAAACACTGGAAACGAGTGATGTTGATTCTAAATGTGTAGGGAAAAAACCGGAGGACCCGGAGAAAAATCCACGCGACCACGGGGAGAGACACCACAAACTCCAAATATTCAGCAGGTGTCAGGGTCGGGATCGAACCCACAACCTCGTCCATTACAGGCGAGGGAGTTAACATCTCGGACGGGTTTCATCTTCTTGGTTCTTTCGGTAAAGTCACGTAGAGTTGTGGCCGAAACGTCGTGAGAATTATTTTATTATGTTTTATTTTTATTATTTCATTACTTCCCTTCTACGTGACTTTACCGAAAGAACCTAGAAGATGAATCCCTGCAGTCACGAAAGCTTTAAATCGAAATCTCGGACGGGTGTTGAAACCAATCCTGGTCCCATTATACAATTTGTACTTATATACCTTATTTGTTTCTATTAAATGTATTTTAGTGACTTGCTTATCTTTTCTCTACTTAGCACTTCAATCGTTGGTTTGTATTGTTTGTTGTTGTAACTCGATGACCCACCCCGACTGGACATGTGCAAAAAGAGCCAAGTAGCTCGTCAAATTCCTTCAGGATAAAGACTCCGATTCTAATAGTACAACAAGAAAGAGAACCATTGCCCATTCATTACCCGCAAATGTATTCATTGGAATACTGTGCACGTACACAGAGCAATCACCGCCCACTTCTGTGAAAACTTGGCAGGACCCTCCTGAAAGAGTGATGATACCGAGTGAGGCTTTCCTGAGTAAACAATAATTCATTAGCGACGAGAAGACTTGTGGCAAGGCTTTTTGAGTGAACCACCAAAAAACAGGTCGATAATGTGAAATACGTAACGGGTAAATTATTTCGCGATAATCGTCATATCGTGATATTTTCTATCCTATCGCGAAAAAGTGATTATCGCGGCGACCCTATTGACCGAATGAATCTGTAATTTACGAGAAAATCCCATAACGGAATAAGAGTTCATCCTCTGTGCGTTTTTGCAAAAACCATCAGCAGTATCTTAAGGACTGCATCTTCGTGTCCACTAAAGTCACCACCAGTGGTACATTTGAACACATGTGACCGACTGACAACAGCAGCAATGAAGCAGTGATCGACAACTGTGGACCGATTTTATCAAAAAGACTCATCGGCACAGCAGTCACCAATGCTCATTGCTTCAAAGTCTGCCTCTGAAAACCATTTATGTGAACACTTCCACACTTCTTTCGATGGGGAAAATGTAATGGGATTGTCGACACCATGTACAGTACTTTTGACATAGAACCTCCACCAGGGGGCAACTGAGGACACAGGGCTTTCTGGAGCAATTGCAGGCCAACGCTCTTGCTGGAAACGCCACTGTGGCGGTTTCCACTGAATAATCTAAACCATGTGACTTGTCATGCATAGCTAAAACATGCATTGCCACAACACAGACAATCGACACAGCTTGCTTTTCCAATCTAACTTGTCCCAATTGGCTTTCTTAAGTTTGCAGTGCAATTATTTTTTTACACATAAATTTGGTATTTAAATAATATACTCATATCCCAAAAGTCATTTAATAAGTTGACAAGTCATTATTAAACCTTGATATTTAACTGGCTCTAGAATTATCTGCAATCGGACAATATATTTCCACATGCTCGAGTCTAGTTATTAATTAATACACATTCCTAGTAATTTCCCATGTCTGCTCATTATGTAATGCATTCGAAGATGTAAGTCTACTACATTTACGAAAACGTCACTGGGCTCATTGGAGGATTTATTGACAATTCAATGCCACGATGACAAACATGACATTTGCAGTCACTGCATGTTGCAGCCAGTAAGGCAAGACTTAAAAAAAAAACTGTACATTTACGGTTAACAGTACAGAGCTCACGAGTTGCAGATGTTACTAGTACGTAGCTGAAATTGACAAGTGTAAAAAAAAGACATTATCCTTTATGCCACTACTTTTGATACAGTGAAGTGAGAAGTTTAATTTTCTCAACACGCAATCAATTTAACCATGGAGAGCAGATGATCAGAAGTCTTATACAACATGAGCTAGCTTAATTATTTTAGGAAGCTATAATTTGTTTCCAAACACAGTAATACTATCGTACAAAACACTAAACCAAAAAAATCATAAATATAGCTTACAAAACAAAAAGCCATTTCAAATGTTTTCCCCTGCAATGTAATGGAAATAGTTTACTTTTCATTAAGTCAAACAAGTGCTCGTAGCCCAATGTATCGTGAGGGAAACATATATATACTGTACCTCACACTTCATCACTTTAGGTTTAGCAGAATTAACCAACCAGGAGCAGCAAGCTGTTGGGAAACCAGATGGACCATTCATCTACATGAATATCCCATAGTACCGTACCACCACATAGGTTCTTACGTAAAACACACATTTATAACCCAGTCAAGTTCAGAGCTCTGTAAAATAGCTCTGAAAAAGCAAACATTTCAAGATAACACGTGCATAAATTGGTTTTCTTGAACATTCCCAGGATTTGTATTTGCTACTAAATCCATACACATCAAAATCTCAATATTCATGCAAGCAGTCATCACTTGACATGCTTACAAATGAAATGTTCCATCTTAATGGATTATGCAGATGAATATGTTAATAATGGACAATTACAAACAAAATACAGACTATATATTTTGCAGATAAATTGAGGTGGAACCACCTCCAAAAAAAAGCTTACATTTTATCCACTCCTACAATATCAGAGACGCATGTATCTACTTTGCTACTGAGCTTAAAGCTCAAGCTGATTTATCATAACTTAGGAAGGATCAACTCAACCAAATGCCCTTCAGTTGTGTAAAAAACAAAGTTCAGATGAGGTGCAGTATCAATCTGCCAAGTGGATAGCCATTGAATACATCAGCTCAACACAATCATATCGAGATGGAGACCAGGGAAGTGTACATTTATGAAAAAAATTCTTTAAATTAAATGTACACAAGTTAATATTAAGGCAGACATTTCTACAAAATCGTGTCATGTTTAACTTGTGCTGTTGTACAAATGAGTTGGCTTACATTGGTTTAAAATACATGTCTTGATATCACCTACTGTGTTAAAAGATGACCGTGCTCAATGGGAATAAAAGTGGTCCAAATCTATTCCTGGACCAAAGCACAGTTGCCAAATGCATCAGTTAATTATTGTTGAGTGATCATGGCACTGCGGTCAGCATATTCCACAACTGACCCAGCAACTGGATTTCACTTCTCAGCCACAGCTACCGTGTCACCAACCTGGACTGACCTGTGAAGTATGACCAAAACAACTGACACGAGATGGAGAGCCCATCGTCCAGCAGGGGCTTGACAAAGCATTGCAATTAATTATATTTCATGTTTGTTATTGTATTCAATTAACAAGTCATATAACAACTTGGCCGAGTTGTTACAAGTTGCCAAAAATAGCATGAATCATGACACTGCAAAAAAAGGACTGGCAATGTGGACAAAAAATATAACAGAAAACAGAGTGCATCAGAGTGCAAGCAGTTGGACTTTTTAAATGTTCATGTACATATGCACATTTTTATGTTCCTTATGTACAAGAAAATGAGATGGCATGGGAAGACCATTTCGCATACAATGACAATCTTGATATGAAGCTTTCCAAACAGCAGGAGAACTGCCTCACCTGATAACGATTGCTTGTGTTGCGATCGAAACGTCGTGATCTATTCATTTTATATCTACGTGACTTAACCGAAAGAACCCAAGAGAATGATGACAATATAACACTGGCTGACTTAATAATTCTGAGACGTCACAAACATCCCCAATATAATTTTCCCAGTACCTTCCAAATCACAGCAGCTATAATTAATCATTACTTACATTGTTGGTCTAAGCCAAAACTACTTTGAGCTTTAAGTCATAAATATTCATTATACATTATGTAGATTTTTGTTACACCGTACCTAGTCTATAACACAGGTAATGAATTTAAAGGCTGTAAACACGCAGACATTACATTTTATCTTACAAAATTGTGTTTATCACGTGACTCATATCAACACGTTACAAAACAATGCAACGTTTTTTACTTTTATAAATCACATTCATTCATCATGCATCATCAGCACAGGACCGTTGGGCCAAACGTGTGACCTCTTGCAACAGCATTCACATAAACTTCTCTTGCTGCCATACCAGCATCTCGAGTACGGTAGTTTCTTTGATCCACATATCACGGGGGGTGGCACTATTCATTTGAGGGCTGCAGTCCACTTTGAACGTCAACCACCAATTGAAATGCGTTTTTTTTTTATAAACCACAGTAAGATGGTTATTCAATTACCAATAAAACATTTTTGAAAAACGACATTCCTAATTTTTTTTTATGCATAAGGGGCATGCTGTAGCACGTGAAAATCTAAACTCTGACAGACGTTTCGAAATTCTCTAAGTCATAAAAAGGCTTGCTTTTACAGAATTTAAAACAGGTGTTTTGCAAAATTCTGAACAAAACATTTTAAGTGTGTATGTCAGGCAATATAATGTTGATTATAATCCAAATGTTGAAGGACACGATGGACAGGGGAGATGCTAAATAATAGTTATTTATATTTCTATACATTCCTATAAATAACACCTTTAGCAATAAATGCAACAATGCAGTAGCACCATCATTCTATCCCATAACATGTCCTTTTGTACAAGTGCATTCACTTTACAGACATTACACAACTTAACTTATCCTACTCGTAAAATATGCTACCCTGAATGGGTCAACTTACAGAGAAGACCACATACCTCACAATGTTTTACTGGTGTGAAACGTAAACAGTGTAACGTGTTACCAATTTCTGTACCGAGAAATCCAATAATTTCCCAATATACTAAAATGAGGCAGGTTCTGATGACAGCAACAGCAGTGTCTTAAGATTCAAAAATCACGAAAGATTGCGTGCCAAAATAACTCCTTGGCATACCAATTTGAGCACAAATGCATTTTGTGAGCAATACAAGGCTCCAAATAATAATAACTGCCCTGCTGTTTTGAGTGTAAACAGTTTATTTATATTTGATGTGCAAAAACCAAACCAGTCATAACTTATAACAGTTGGTTTGGTACAATCATTGTTTTAAATATGACTGTTTGTGTTTTGCAATTGCATTGTTTGCAGAACGGATTGCATTGTAGGTAATTCTTCTTATATCAAACGTCTTGCCTATGAAGGTCCTGAACTAAATCCGAAACGGAGCATCTTATGACGAGTGTTTTTGTCCAGTTTACATAAAACATCTTCAACTCCAAGGTTTTCTTTAATGTGGGTTGATTTCAATGTGTACCTGCAAGCAGAGAAAATACAACATGATTCACAATGACAGAAACACACAACAGTATTCAACTTTCATACAAAATGTAAAACCCCACAAGAACAAACATTTTAGGTTCATTTACAAGGCATTATAAAAGCAACAACAATGCACAAAAGTGAAATGTAGACACTATTTATTTATTCTAATCACAAACTTACCAGTCTTGTTCCACCTCTACACCATCTATGGGGAAGCCTTTGTTCAGCAGTGGATTGACAAAGGTACAAATAAATCACAAGCTAAAACGTATTTAAATGGTTATAACCACTCGGCCATAATATTATTATTGAATTACTGAACCCTTGATTATTTACCATTCAAGTGTTGGCATACAGTTACAACAATTGGGTTATGGACTTTAGCCATACCAATACATGCTGTAGTTTACATTAGAAAAACTTATTTATTTTCAAGGTCAAACGACACTTTGTCCCAAATTCATCTAAGGATGCCTTATTTAAAATTACGGCTCTATTAAGTAGATGAATCAAAAACATTTAATTGGTTACTTATTTTGCATGTGATTACTCGGCCACTTTCAAAACGGTGGTGGCCTCTACATCGTGTCTACTGAAGGAAACCCCCAACAAGCATCACCCACAGCGTGACACGTTGAAGATACCAATGTCACCAAATCCCACTCATCATCTCCCATCCACAGGCACACGTGGGAACAGAGGATACTTTTTTTTCGCAACTACTTTAATTGCATCAGATTAGCCGATTAATCAAACCGATATTTGGTTTAATAATCTAAATTACTTAAATAATTAGATTTGCGAGCTCTAGACATTTTTGACTGGTCTCTGTTATCCATTCTACTGACCGTTGCAGAGATTTACCCGGGCTACACAGTCCTTATAGCACTGTTTGTATATATTGCTGTAATATATTCAGTATCAGTCCCATACATAAGCAACTGTACTACCAGGTACCATGGGATGCCAAGTGTAAGTAACCATATGGCATGAGTTACCGTGGCACAAGAAAATCAATAATGAATTATTCTAGCAGCATAGACCCATTGTTTATTAGTTTAGGCACAATATACTTCTTCCAGACACCAATAATGTAATAACCTCAGTTGTCCATTTCAACTTAATATATTTGCTTAACATTATACTAATTCTATCTGCAGGTTGCAATGGCAAAGTGTTGACAAAAGAGCTCTGATGTACGACAATTTCAAATTAAATTGAAAGCTAGACAATCATAAACACGTGTAGAAGCCAAATTATTATTTAAAGTACACGATTATGGTGTACTTAGTTAGCTGTGCTGCTAAGCTTTGGTTAAAAGCACATTATGGGTATTTGTAATTCTAAAACGCCTAAGTCACGAGTCAATGTACAGTAATGCAGAGAAGTGGTGATGATATTAAGAACAACAGAGGCGTGTATAAAGAGAAAGCCTGCTTTTCTTTTACGGATAAATAGCTGAGCAAAACGTGGATGAATTAGGTTTTAATACAGCAACTACAAAACATGGAAAAACAAAGAGGCCCTTAATTTATTTTGGGACAAATGACAGCGGCGTGGGGCAGCAATGTGAAATTAAAGATGAACTCTGGCACACAATGCACAGCTCTTCTTTCAAATGGCATCAGTCCAGTGGTGCAAAGCTTAAACCTTTTCCTTGCCTACCCACACAATCTCGCGAATAGCGTATTTGGACGTATTTGTAATTAATAGCATTTGAAAAATTAACGTGCCTGTCAATATGGCTGCACCTCCCCAACAGCTGGATTCAACCTGTCCTGTGTGGGTTCACCGAAACCCCGAAAGGTTGCCCGCCCACAGCCAAACATGATGATGACCTTGTGGCACTTGTAACATACATTATTTTAACTCCAGTCTGTTTGTTAACAAGCGGAAATCGAGAGTACTGCAGCACCTGCGCTCTAAAGAGTTTGTCAGTCAGCACGTCACCACTTACATGCGTGGGATTTAAACGTCGCCATTACGAGCGACATTTAATCCTCTAGATGTGGCGATTTTAAATGCCACGTTAGAGCGATTTGAGCCATATTTAGATTTTGAAACGCACTGCCCTGGCGATCATCGCCATTGCTGGTGACGGAGCTGCCAAAAATTAAACACATTTTACATTTGTCAAGATGTGACACACGGGTAATTTTATTAGCCATTTTTACAGGTAGATAAAAATGCCTGGTTAAGTCCAACCGATTTGACGAAACAAATTAATCTAAAATCAGGCTGAACCGATTTGTCAAAACATTGAAATAATCCAATACAAATCTCTCCAAGAGTGTTGCTCTGAAATTGCCGGATTACCAAAATATCTAAAAGCTCTTCGTAATAACAGATCACTGGATTCGCTGTGCGACAGTGGCTTTGTCGCGCCGTGTAAAACGCGATTTGAACACATCGCTGCAATGTGGGCCTGGCTTAAAGCACCGCACCACGAGGTCATCACAGCCTACGCCGCTTCGTCCAGCACACTTCACCATCATTGTCGAGTCCCATACAGTACTGTACCACCACATAATCACATTACCACATTCACAACAAATAGCATAACCTCCACCATCATGAATACCACCACGATCATACGCACCACCACAATCGCAACTACCAACACAAGACCATCACCATTACAAAGTGCGCGCACACACATACACGTAACACTTGACTGACATGTCAGCACACAAAAACACACACACACACACGTAACACTTGACTGGCATGTCAGCACACAAAAACACACACAAACACACACACACTTGACTGGCATGTCAGCACACAAAAACACACACACACACAACACTTGACTGACATGTCAGCACACAAAAACACACACACACACGGCATTTACCTAACAAAGCCACCGCGCGGGCCTGGCAAATGGTGTTGGGTGGTTGGTGACGACAAGGCTGGGAAGGATGGTTTTTTTAATCAGCGCACCTGCAGCCGCACGTTCATCACCATGGACGCCACGAAGTACATGTAGGGGAACCTGTGGCGGAACTTCCACGCCAGGTCGAAGAGCAGCAGCAACGACCGCGTCATGTTCTTCGAGAAGAACGTGTAGAAGTGTCCGAAAGCCGCGGCGTCCGTCAAGCCGACCATGGCCACGGCCCTCGGGCGATGGACCCGGCGAAGACTTTCCCGGCTCGAGAGGCAGCGAACTGGAACGAACAGCGGTCGCGTTACGGCCACCAAAAGTGAAACGCGAACACAAGCGGATGAAGGATGGTCTCTGGTTGAAGCGCTGCTGCTGGTGGTGGGGGGGGGAGTGGAGTTTGGTGGTCGCTGGTTGGCTTGTTCGAGGGCGAGAGATTGGTTGGCCAAGCCGCGATCCGTCCAAAACACGGGTTTTGTCCCCCCCCTCCTCCCCACCCGATGAATGAGCGTTTTAAGTTTTTGCCGCTGTGCGTTTTGCGATGTTGACAGCCGTGGCCGCCGACGTAGCGAGAAGCGCGGGCGAACAATGAAATAGGCCGCGCGTGGCTGCAGTGAATATGGGAGGCACAGGCGAGCAGCTTTATAGCGGAGCGCACTGCACACACACACACGAGAAACTCGAGACCTGACACTAACCTACTATGCAAACAGCAACTTGTACTTTTCGATTTAAAGCTTTCGTGACTGCAGGGATTCATCTTCTTGGTTCTTTCGGTAAAGTCACGTAGAAGGGAAGTAATAAAATAATAAAAATAAAACATAATAAAATAAAATATTTTATTTTATTAAAATAAAACATAATAAAATAAAATATTTAATTTTATTAAAATAAAACATATTTTATTTTATTATGTTTTATTTTTATTATTTTATTACTTCCCTTCTACGTGACTTTACCGAAAGAACCAAGAAGAGCAACTTGTACGTCGATCCCCTAATCCAGCGGTCGGGAACCTATGGCTCGCGAGCCATATATGGCTCTTCCGGGTGACGGCATATGGCTCCCAGACAAATTTGAGTTGAATAATAAAAAAAAATCAGTTTGGAACTGATTTTAAAATACTTGTGATATTGCTTAATAATACTGTGTCATTTTAAAGTAAACAGAAATTAGTTTTGAAGATCAAATTTCTCGGGTCACGGATCCCGTGACCAGAAGTCGCATTAAAAGTAAGACATTTAATTTATTATACGTTAAAATACTATATGGCTCTCAATGAAATATATTTAGAAATATTTGGCTTTTATGGCTCTCCCAGTCAAAAAGGTTCCCGACCCCTGCCCTAATCCTACCCTTGACCAACTAGCTAATCGGCCACGAGTAATATATCCCACTAACCAAAACCCATAACTACATTGCTAACCAGCCACGAACATTGGTCCACCCACACTGACCCCAATCAACCACAAACACCACCCTAACGGACCCAAATCTAACCCCTATCCAACCTCACCACTAGTACTGGTCCCACCGCTAATCAGACTAGCCTACCAAACACTAATACTCGCACATATTCCGAACCTTGTGCGAACCAGGCACTTGCAGTATCCCCAACCCTAGCCAACTATTTCACGTGGCACTCTTATTGAGCCTAACCATGATCCCACCTCTCAACTTTCCGTAGGGTCACTTTATGTTATGTTTTTCTTTTCCAGTTTTGAAGCTCAGAGCGGCCGTCAAAGTCCTCCAGATGTCGGCCTGCGGGGGTCTCCGCAGTGTCTCTCTCTTCGCCTCGTTTGCAGAGTTTGCAGCGTGTGGTGTGTGCCCAATTTGGTTGGTGCTCGGCCGCGTGCAGTGGTGAGATGCTGCTATGCACGACTGTGTGAAGTGGTGAGCTGATGCTATGCACGAAGGGGTGAGCTTGCTTTGAATGAACTCTGTGTAGTGGTGAGCTGATGCTATGAGTGGACTGTGTGTATTGCTGAGTAGTGAGGGATGGATGCGTCCCTGCTATGCCCCCCCACCTACGCCACACGTGGCGCGGCCGTCGCGACCCTTGACCCGACCCAGCTGATTGCAGCCGCCTCGTGTCGTCGCCCCTCATTGGTTCAGCAGTCGCGAAGCGCCACCAATCAGACTCGAGGGCATTCAACTGGGGCCGGTCATGGGGAGGGGGGGTGACCTCTCCGATAAAGGGGCGGGGTCTACAGAGATGATAGCCAATGGGACGCAGGGAGGAGGGGTTCTGCCGCGGAGAGGCGGGGCTTGTGGACAAGAGGGCGGTACCTGCGGGCAAGGGGGCGGGGCTTCGTTGCCCCCACGTGGGGGTGGGGTTGGGGGGAGGTTTCATAATCCGAATTTTGATTTCGACTGCAGTCGGAATCCGATGAGCGAGGGGCGAGTCAGGACGTTACAACAACAAGCAGTACAAAAAACGTGATTGGAGTGCAAGTTAATAGGAGTGGGTTTCACACAACGCAGGGGATACACAACTGCGGAATGGCTCTGACCTCATTAAGTCAACAGCAGTGACTGCCGTGCCGGCGTATTCAAATTAAGACGAAACCGGTCCACAATTGTGTCTATCACTGCTGCTGTCAACTGGTCACATTTCCTCATTGCGATGGTGGCTTTTGACGAGAGGACCACTGTCGTTCTTCTGGAAGTGCTGATAGTTTTTTCCATAACGCGCGTTGTTTGAAACTCATTGTTGGGAGGCTTCCACCAATTCTGCTCTGATGGCTTTTTCTCTTCACAAATTTGACAAACTGGGCTTCCAACTACAGTAACTTTTTGTTTTGTATGCCAACAGGACCTACATCTCTGATGTATTGACCTGGTCAATATATGAACCTTATGGCGGGACCCTGGCGTCCCATAAGCCCCCGGCTCTAGCATAAACATAATGTTAACAAAAACTTTGCTCTTTTTCACCAGTGGGTTTGAAGGATGGTGGCAAGTGTTGTCTTGTTAGACTATGCCTTTAAAACTGAAAACTACTTACCTGCAGTACCTCTATTTAAATACACTATCGAATTTGTTTTGACCCCTCTGTCAATCATCGTGTTTCTCAAGTGTGGATTTGTGAACAAACTTTGTAAACGGTAAATAAAATAGTACGCGTTTTCAATGCGCTGTCCATATTGTAACAAGCGTTTATACCAATGTCACTCTACAGAGTAGTGGGTCGCCGCTCCTCTTATCCGCATTGATACGAGCGGTATGTGGGGACTATGGCTTAACCGCAAAAATAAGTATAACCAGTAAAAACAAAGTTTTTCACTATAAATCCTTTATATGCGTGGCGGCTAGAGTCCTCTCGTCCTCTGGCTTGAGATGGCTGCCACCTATGGGTCAGATGATTGTCTGCCACCATTAAGCAATTGGTAATTAAATATTTAATTTGTTTTCCCTAAACAGTGTAAAATTTTGGAATTTTTTTCACGAAAATTACTTGTCACACACAACGAGTCTGTGTGCAAAATGTCAGCTCGATTGGATCACGGGAAGTGGGTTAAAAAACGAGCGAAAGATTTGCACGGTCCTAAGCAAGCAAGCGAACTTAATATAAAGGATTTAAAAATATATTCGCCTGTGGAGGACGCGGGGATCGATCCCACGACCTTTGGCATGGGAAGCGAGGGCGCTACCAACTGCGCTACTCCGCCACGGCCTGTGGAGGGGTTACGCTCTGGGCTCTTACACTGTGACGTTCAGCCAAAGCCATGAATGAGTTCTATTTGAATATATGTAAAATATTTATTTTTTGCCTAAAAAGTGTAACATTTTGGGAATTTTTTTTTCACGAACATTAATTGTCTAGCACAACGAGTCTGTGTGGAAAATGTCAGCTCGATTGGATCACGGGAAGTGGGTTAAAAAACGACCGAAAGATTTGCACGGTCGTAAGCAAGCAAGCAAGCGAACTTAATATAAAGGATTTAATAAAGGATTTAAAAACGATCTGCACAGATGCATACGGACAAGGTAATAGGATTGTCATCGATTGATCCTGGCTGCAGACATTGGTAGGTCACAAATAATAATGAAGAGAGCAGTTTCACTTTATTATGCATACCGTTATGACAAATAAAGTCACGTAGGTTAAAAGAAAACAAATACATTAAATCACGACGTTTCGGAGGCAACACAAGTCGTGTAGGCAGTTTGAGCGGCTTTGGATAAGACTCATAATCCTGCCCATACCCGAGCATGGAGTGCAGCATTCGCTTGTTCAGCTCTTGTGCGCATTCATCCTCGCTGTTGTGCTTGGACACGACATCACAACAGAATGATCCGTGCCACGTGGGTCGCCGCGTTTATGTGCGCGGTAGGACGGAGTCGCTAAAAATAAACGAATTAATTGCGATTTTGACTTCCGTTTATTCGGGACCCCGGGGTCCCGCCATAAGGTTCATTTGTATGTATGTTGAACTTCTTTCGCGCCGTACGTAACCGACTGCTAATCGGCACGGGTGGCCACCTTAATAATGTATATGTTGTCTTTCGTTTGGATACTGTATGTGCTGTCTATTCATTAAGACAGTTTGCAATATTGTTCAGATGGGCAAATAGTGTCCTCTTAAAAAACATCTCACCACAACCAAAATAAGCATTCATACATGGTGTATTTCTATATTTTCCAATAGATCCACGTGGATCCAGTAAATGGGAAATAAAATAAAATTGAGACATTCTGTTAAACCATCAAACGAAACGCACGTGGAATATCGATACAATGACGGGCTCCCTGAACCATCCAGCCACCTCGTGCCCGATGTAATGCGTGGCACAACCACGGGCAAAAGCCCTGAATGCAGTCCGTCCCATTGAGTTTATTTGCAAGGTTATTGTTGATATTTTATATATTAAAAAAACGGTGCATGCAAGCATTACAAAAATAATAATAAAAGCTCAACCAAGACAACAGTGTGAGAGTAAATAGGATGGAACATTCTAAGATAAATGCAAGTAACGTATTTGAGTAATCCCTGTAGTGTTCAAAATAAGCACATCACTATTTTTAACCAAATAATTTTTTTAAAATAAACAGATCTGAATACAAAATAGACATTTTATGCAAGTGCAGAATACATTCAACAAGGGCGCAATGCTGTATAAATGTGGAAAATACTGAATTGTTCCCAATTTAGTTTGCCCAAGTGCAGTAGCTTAGAATGGGCCAAGCCACAGAAATTGTAAACAGCAAGCGGATGAGCATGTCACTTGCACGACTGCTCGTAAATACATGGCTATACAGTAATGATTAAAAATCCCACATTTCCAAAATAGAATGAAGACAGAGGCTTATACATATACAGTTATTGTCGTGTACTCTGTGTGCATTTTTACAAGCATTAACTGCATTTAACTTGTTATTTTGTAGGAAATTAAATATGATACATTGTTGACACTGTTGACAAAATGCATTTTCGGGGTTAGGATCCCACATTGGTTGTGGGGTCTTGCTTGGCAGAGTGCAAGAGATGTCCATTGTACGCAAGCCTGGGTGTTATAAAAGAGCACACATCTTTTTCTTCCTCTCTATCTTTGGTTCTGGAGAGATGACAGCCCGAACTGTTTCATCAAACACATTCTTGAGGCCACGCTGTGTCAGGGCTGAGCACTCCAAGAACTTGATTGCACCTGAATGAACAAACAAGTGAATTCCTACACTGTACCGACAACCACGAGAGCCTGTGAAGCAGTGCGGTTTACAAACGTGATCTGTATCGTGCAAAAAAGCGATAAATGAAGCGTGTGCAGAGAAGCGTGCAGAGGTGCATGCTTGGAATGACACGGGGTGACAGGAACTTGAACACATGGATTCATAGTAATACATTATATTTATAAAGCACTTTTAAAAAAGTAAACAAGATGCCGTGAATCACTAAATAATATATCCTAGATCAAGGGGGGAGGATAAAAAACGAATAAGACATAGAGATGACCATTCAAATGCTAAGAAAAGTTGGCTTGGGCAGAACACAGCTTGACGAAAAGGGTTGATGGCCAATGGACGAGGACAGTGATAGAATGGCAGCCAAAGGAGGGAATACATCAGACGGTGCGACCACCGTGGAAATGGGACGATAGGATCTGTTCACGTGAGATTGCAGGACTGGGAGGGTGGCGATGGAATGGGAAGGCCACCCAGCCATGGATAGACAATTACTCATCGTGATGATATGCTAATAATATACTGTTGTTACATTTAGGCCAATGTAACAAGCCAGTTTCTGCACATGGAACAGAACAAATGGGCACACACGAAATTATACAGATGAAACAAAAATTAACCATTCATGAATTAAACGAGAACTCCTTAATTGTGGCAATTTAACGAGGTACAGGTTGTTCAGGGGGTGGATATTTACTTGGCTGGTTTAGTTAGTGTAATGTATGTATGTTGAAGTTATTTCGCACCGTACATCGCCAACCATGCAATCGGAGGTGCGAAATACCTTGTTTCCATGAACAGCCAACTCGACTCAACTCGTGTGAATGTGAGTTGACCTCAATTCTCCCAAATATCAAGTTGATGATGAACTCAAGTTGATGAAAAAGTTACAATTCTCTGATTTCGGAAGTTATTCACGAAAGCTGAACAGGTCTTTACATTTCTGCTTGGCCTAACTTCTGACATGGGGAATTCTGGCCAACTCAAGAAGAACATTGTCCAGGAGAAATCTAGCTCTTGGCCACAGTGAAGTGGCAGCTAGCTCAAGTGATTTAAAAACACATTGGAATTGGGTGGTGGGGGAGATAGGAGGCAAACCAATTTTTTAATTAATGTTTATTACCACCAATGTTGTTGTGTTATGATCATTTGTATGCATTTAATAGCTTATTTATGTATTTACTTATGGTAATTCGTTAAAAAGATAGGTTTTTCGTAGGCAAAATCATTACCCGCAAAATGTGCCATTCACGAGAATCTCTAGAATGTATCCCTCGTCAATAATGAGGGAATACTGTACGTACTATGGCTCATAGTAACAAAGTATACATGTGGTCCACAATTCATTTTTTGGATTGGACCACGTAACGATCTGGAAAAATTTCTGTCACAAGACCCTCCACCACCCGATGTAGCCTCAAATAAAAAATGGCACGTTTACATTAAACTGTAGCTCTTGTGACAAATGTCTTGCCAGATCATTAACGTGGTCCAAGCCAAAAATGAATTACGAATCGCAAGATTGGCGGTGAACACGTACGTGTTAAGAAGTGGGTGCGGATATCCTTTTGCATAGCTCACCTATCTCCTTGGCCAGACTCAGTCCCTGAGCATTGGTCACAGGCTGCATGCTTTTCTCCTCGAGGTGCTTGAGAATGTCCTTGTCTTCACGCTGGTCCTGCTTGGTACCCACCAGGATGATAGGGGTCTCTGGGCAGTGGTGCCGCACTTCCTTGAACCACTGGGCACACAGCCAACAGCCGAACGTTTACCATTTTACCTTTCCTCTGCCTGTGACTGACTGCTGCTGCTGGTGTTAAGAAAAATGTCAACTGCTTATATAGCTCTACTTGAGGACCGTCCATAAATGACGTCACGCAATTTTGGACGATTTTTGCCCCCCCCCCCCGTCACACGGCGTCACACGGCGTCACAAAAGTCAGACCCCCCCCCTCAAATATGACGTCACAAAGGTCTGACCCCCCCCCTCAAATATGACGTCACAAAGGTCTGCCCCCCCAAAAAAAATATGCTTCAAATCGCTTTAAACTATTGTCATTGTAGTGCGTATTTAATGTGCCGCTGCGCTCTGATGTTGTAAGAGAAAACATGTATTAAAAAGTCTATCTAATTAAGTAGAACGTGTTGTCTATATTCATTTAAAGTTGCGCATTTCGATGTGACGTCACATTTCTCAAACACCCCTCGTCACACATCGTCACAAATGTCTGACCCACCCTCCCCAATAGGTGCGTGACGTCATTTATGGACGGCCCCTTGGGCGATGTTGTTAGCAGCAGAGGATGATGCAGAAAAATAATTTGACAATGTCCCCTCGTCTGTGTTCTACGCATTCACCAACCCGCACTGACGAATGTGGTGAAGTATGGTCACGAACTACATACAAGTGCTGTACATCTACTGTTTCTGTATAGCGTCTTTAAATACAGTCACATTTAGTCGCTATATATTGTACATCCAATTTTCTGTTGTATTGGGTGTTTTTTTTAATGAAGCAGGAAAACTCGTAAAACAGAAACATTTGTTGGCTAAACTTAGCGGTTATGGGTTAGCATGTTAGCACTTGCGTCTGTATTCAGTTGCTCGTTCCTGTATTTTGCCTGAGGATTCTTGTAACTGATGCTGTTCCAATGCCGAATCAGGGTGCGCCAGATATATTTCCGCACACACACACATTAATCATACCTCATCCTAGGCACACAGATTAAACCGGAAACACTCGGTGAACTTCATGGAATGAAGGCTGTATATGGACATGAGGATACATTTGAGGGATGCGCAGGATATTCTCTTCATAATAAACGCTTTTGGGTTAGATCGCGTTATTTATAAATGTGTCGTGACCCTCCACCACCCGACACGGCCAATCGGTAAAACAAAAAGTGTCACGTTGACAAAAGACAAATAGTTCACGACTTTAGCCCATCGGTGTGTTGATAAGTGATTCCACAACATTTACAATTTTTGATATTCTCTGCTATGCTTTGTTGTGATTTTGTGTATGTAATGATTGAAACAATATCACATGTTGCATGGAAAAACTGTAACACTGTAATAATGAAATAATTTGTCTACAACTTCTGTCTTTTAGGATATAAGTAAAATTCTTGCTAATTGATGCAAATATACAGGGTTGTGTAGGTGAGAAAAATAATCATCTATTCTTGGTTTGTGCACAAAATTGCGAGGCATATAATACATTAAGCCAATTGGTATTTAAACCATTCTTACAGTGCAAAGCCATCACAAAATGTAGTTGGCAGGAGATTCACAGTGGGGATCGATGAAGCACCGGATGTCAGAAGGTGCGTCACCACTTGGATCAGAGAAAAAGGGGTCTTAGAAGTATGTTTATCATATCACCTTCCAGAGGTAATATTATAGGTTGGGGTGGTACACTGCTTTCTGCATGTTGTGAATGGACATTCCTTTATCTCATGACGTGGATACCTATATGTAAAGATGAACACACGTGTGCAGACATGTACACCGTACTGTCTGTGGGTATGAGAGCGGCCTCAGCCGATCATAATCTTACCTGCCCAGCCGTGTCCCACACCCCCATGTTCACATGATTACCATCAACCGTAAGATTGATGACGTAGTTTTCAAACAATTGGAATGTAATAGCGAAAAGCAAGATAAATGTAAAAATCAAAGCTAGCGCATCAAGAACACTTAAATACAGCACTGTGCAATTTAAAAAAATCTGTAGCAAAGCGACAAACATTGCCCCGTAAGCAGAGCAGATGGGGAAGTGCTCCCTTCTACCGCGTGGGCCAGATGGAGGTCACTGTATGGGATATCAGACGTATTTCTGTGACATCCTATTCCATGAGTTGCCAATTTCATGTATGAACACGCATTAACTGGGTGAAAATATCTAAAATTTAAATGCCAATGCAGGATCCTCCTGAAAAAGAGTACTATGACACAGTGTGACTTCCTGGTTAAATAATTAACTTAACTTTCAAAATTGAAGAGTTGAACTGTTCCTAGAGAGATGCGAATGAATTTTTCATCTCATATGACACCAAAAGCACAATTGTGATAACATTTGGGATAATAAATTCCAAAAATTAAATATATAAAAAATATGCTGTTGCCGTACCTTTACGCGTACGTTGTCAAAGGAAGATGGGCTCACGACCGAGAAGCAAATGAGAAAAATGTCCTAAAGAAGCAAAGAGAGAGTTAGCTGCATAGTTTTACCGATCAAATAATAATCCTTACTGCGTCAGCAAGTGCAATCATGCATATACTACAACGAACCAGTACACTGAAAACACTTCAATGCTTAAGCGTATCCACAGTGAAAAATATGTATGTTATATATTGAGGCAAATTTAATATAATTTTTGTAGTGAATGCCATATGCACGGTGTCCAGGTCATCTAGGAGACCTTTATAAATGTACGGCAAATGGAAAAAAGTACACCTTTTCAAACACAGCGTATCACCCATGAGGCGACCTTTGCCTACAGGCCAAGTCTCATTTCTCACTCTGATGATGTAAGAAAGGACACACAAGGAGCCAGGAAGGTGGCTGGGTGGGTCAAGATTGAGACCAATGAGCCGACACCAATGAGATCCTGGCTTTGAATCTGGGTGATTAAACTGGGTTCTAAAGTGCAGAGTTGATGGGTCTCCTCGTGGTTATCAATACGCGAAAAAAATCCATCACAATAATAAATTAGGGTTTTCACTTAATTCGGCTACATTCCAGCTTTTATAAATAATAAAATATATTGGTTGGACTGCCATGCAACATATATTTCTCTGTGCATGGTGTGTGGACAAGTGAAGTGCCTACGAGTATGGATGAAATCGGTCACTTGAAAGAATCTCACTGCTGTAGCTCTGATATCCCTTCCACAAACCATTCTCTAACAAATTAGGTGATGCATTTCACTACAAGAGTTCTGAATTGACACTTCGTCTCATGTAATGAAGCTGATAGCAAGCTTAGAATAACACTGGGATAGCTCATGGTTTGTCTCTCTTCAGTACACAGGTAAAAGTATTCCCAACACTGTACATATATGCATAGATACTGATGTAAGCCAGCTTGGGAGTAATGTGATCAGAGCATTCGACGTATATTTGGCAGGCTGCAAGTTCAAATATGTCATCATCTCTCCAGAGCCAATACAATCATAACCACTGCCTCAGAAACCATATATCCAGAGACGATGGATGCCTGCTATGGCATGTGTCATTGGCAGCATTGGCTGATTGCTGCGCATGGAGGCGAGTGCCAAGTCACGACGTGTTACAGCAGGGAGACAGCTTAACACGGATGTAAACAATCCCTTACATAAGCGTGTGTGCAAGAACATGGGTGAGGATGTATCCACGGGTGTGGACGTGGACACCGTACCGTCTGTGGGTAAGAGAGCGGCCTCAGCCGATCGTAGTCTTCCTGCCCTGCAGTGTCCCAGAGCCCCAGGTTCACGTATTTTCCATCAACCATAAGATTGACGGCATAGTTGTCGAACCTGTTTGATGCAAGCACGCCACATGTACACACAACCTCACTTCTACGGCGTGTACAGCATTGGGATGCAGTCTCTCACTCATGCGCCTCCTTTATTCACGAAAGAATGCCATGTGCTTTGGCATGTAGAGCATGCTACACAACACGCGAGTGTGTAAATTACTTTTACGCGAAACAGCCATGCTTCACGAATTGGCATTGGACTCAAGTAGCACTGCCGCCTGAGGTACACAAAAAACAGGATATCATGGGGAGAGGAATGTCTCATTATACCAAAAGAAGTGAGAACTGTTGGTAAATGTGTTGCCTTAAGTGGTGAATTATTACACAAATGACAAATAAGCAGCCCATTTCATGTTCCGGGAATACTTACAAATTTCTCAGGACAACTACCCCCCCCAAAAAAGAGGATGAACCTGGGATTACCAGGACAGGTGGTGGTAACCTTATTCTCAATGCATAATAAAACACGGCTAACAATATGAATAATGTAGACAATGCATTTTCTTCACATTTTGCTCTACAATAACGCATACTTCCACTGAAACAAAACGTTTACATGTAAAAGGTGTTTTAAATATTTTTTTTTCTGCCATTGGCAAACAAAGGGATAACTCACACTGTCGGAATGTACTCCCCGGGGAAGGTGTTGTTGCTGAAGCTGATCAGCATGCACGTCTTTCCCACCGCACTGACACAAAGTGCACAAACACCACCGTCAACTCCTGTGTAGATGTTTACTTGTGAGCCCTGGCATAATTGTTAATGAACTGCACGTTCCATTTCCATCCTGGTGGATCCACGCTTCCACGACCACAAACAGCCTCCCACACCCACGATTCAATCGGCTCCCATGCCTCCGTGCTCTGCTCGGTTGACTTGACGTGAAATCAATTCAAACTGCCAGGACCTTTGATGAAGGTCAGCTGAAAGCATGAGGGCATGCAACAATCCAAAGGTTTTCCACATTACGCCACATATGGTAAACCGAGATAATGTTTGTTATTGTAAATGTTTTAAAAGAAATTGTCTTGTTTAATTGAATCAAGAAAATTGCATTTAAATGTATTTGCTTTTTTTCTGTACACCTCTTAGGATCTGTGTAAAGCTATTGAAATGTAACATTGTCAGACAAATTGACAGTGCACTTTCGAAGTCCTGGTCTACGAACATGTCGGCCCTGCATATAACGCATGTTGTTAGTTCGTTGTCTTTGAAGAAGCATTGTCATTTGTTTTCTCACCCAGATGTACTTCACAGTTGATTTCCACTGTTAAACCGAACTGCTGTGTATAGGACAAAATTAGTTTTACAAATAGACTTCAAGTACAGTCGTTACGCGCTATGCTCTGTAATATGCAGCACAAATTGGTTTTGCTACAATTCCTCAGCTTAGATCAGTGCAGCCGTTGAAATGAGTGACTTCGGTGTCACGCGAACGCCTTTTCCCAAACACAACTGAACAGCAAAGCTGTTGCCAAAGCATCCTGATAAAACTTGGAAATAACACGTGAAGACATCGTCTTACATATGAACTAGCACATACCCAGACCTAATCAGAAGCCAAAAAAAATCTTAAAATGGAACTCGTGTTGTGATCATGATGCCAATCTTGCTGTAAAATGGCAGTGCGGCTTGACTGAACATGAGTCATTTGCTATCGTCTGTGTGCCTGGCATACAGACGGCTTTGCTCCCGATTCTCTTTCCTTGTGTCAAATGCACTGTTCTAAGTGCAACTAGCAGCCCTTTCACCACAAGGTCCATTACTCTCAAATTCCCTGCCTTTGAGGTGATTTTCTCCAAGTATGAGCTTGTAGGGATGGTCACAATTCCCCATTATGAAATGGTGTATCACTATATTTACATGGCATACATATGTGCATAGGCCTCGGCAAGGTAAGGTAATTTACCCTTTTTACCGGGTAAAAGGGTAAAGGTAAAGAGTAAAGGTGTCGACATGCCAAGGGGTAAGGTCAAGGGTTAAAGGGTAAAGGTAGCTCGGAAGAATTACCCGGTAGGGTAAAGGAAGCGCGAAGTATTACCCGGTAAATACGGTAACTTGTTTACCGCTAAAAGCTCCGTGGCGCAGTCCGTGGCTTACATTTACTAAGTAATATTTAAAAAATACTTTTTTAAAACACGCTTTTATTAAATGTACTAGTAATGGCAGAACTCCACGACTCCAGGAAGTGGCCCCAAAGCTTTCCATAACGTCAGGGTGCCGTAGTGATTTACAGCCAACGTGAGTTGACCGTGGACAATTAGACCCAAGCCGAAACAACATTTACAAAAGAATGTTTAAAAATATATATTTTTATGATAGAATATATTATTGTCATCAGTATGACATAACTATACCAAGTTTGCAGTCGATTTGAGGATACAAGCGTGTAAAATTGGAATCATCGAGAGTATTCTATATGACTAAAGCGCTCTACCTAGCATTTACCTGTTATACACCTTGTTCATGTGTAGTAGTACCCCAGTAATTACCCTGTAATCGAGTAATTTGTACGGGGTAAGGGTAAAAGGGTCGGCTCGTTGCTTTTTACCTTTCACCTTAACGAGGCCTATATAATGTGCAGCACAACAGTTATTTTAAAAAAGCCGATCAAGTAAAAAAAAACATCCTCATTCTTGTTCCATCACTGGTCATGAGAAGTGAATTCCATACGCATTGTAACCTGGATTTGAACAATGACCACCGCTACAGTATGCGTATAAACAAGAAATGTATGCTTTAGCAGCAATTGATGTGTGAGCTGTACCCAGCCGGCACGAACTGACGTTGAAAGCAGAAACACTGCTTTACCCTGAATTCCACTGTAATATCCTTCAGCGAGATTGGCGTTGGAGTGGCAGATCAGGTTTTGGAGTGATTTGTCTATGCCCCACATATGTCGTCGTGATTTTTATTTTATTTTACTTTTATTAATTTTAATGTTTTACCTACGTGACTTTACCGAAAAAAACCTAAGAATATGAATAAGTTTCAGATGTCCAATTACAGGTAGTCCCCGAGTTACGATGGTCCGACTTACGATATTTCGATCTTACGATGGCGATAGCGATACGACAAAATTGCCATCAACAACCTAACATCGTTCAAGTGTGCAGACGACGGACAAAATCTTGGTGAGTCCAGTACAATATGATACGTTACGATACGTTCAATGCATGTATGATACGTAGCTTTAGCGATTTCATTTTAAGGTTACCACGATACGATACGTTCAATGCATGTTAGAAGTGTTTTTATAGCATATAGGATTGTTCCCTGAAAAAACGTTCTATTAAATTGCAGTTCATATAGGTAGGCTAAGAATTTACCTTGTTGTTTTTACTTTACATTTTACTGTGCAATACAGTATTGCAATTAATAAATACATAAGGTATATCGTTTATACAGTACGGTACTGTAAATTGCTCTGTTTTGCTAAATTATCACCATTCTTTAAGACTCCTGGGTAGGCTTGGCCATCTTCAACTTAAGATATTTTCAACTTACGATGGGGTCGTCGTAACGCATCTCCATCGTAAGTAGAGGACTACCTGTAACAGCACGCTGTGGTCAGTACATGGTTACCACAAGGTCTGTCACTCCATGGGGTAGATGCGAACAGAGCAGGTATAAACATGTCTCTTTTTGAAATATCTAATGAAGCCTCTACAATGACGATCCGTTACCAATACACCCTGACAGCATAAACGGTATCTACACAATGTATGCAACGGATTCAGTTCACAAAATGTGAAACATTTCTGAGAAATGTCAAAATATATATAATCACTTGACATTTAATCTCGTGCTTAAAGCTATGGGACCTGAAACAAAATTGCGGGTGGCTCTGAGATCCCACAAGATAATCTGCAACTGGAGTAAACCCCAAAGAGCGTTATGAGTGTAAGGACACGAGGCAGAGATGGCCAACCTCCCCACCGTGTGGATTTCGCGAAAGGGTGGAAGAGGCCACCCACACTCGGCCGGACGCGAGACTTTCAAACTCGCCACGACCTTCCCATTCACACTTTGATTTTCTAGGATTTTCTGTTTGCACTTAGTCACATATTCACTTTAACATGTTTTATTGTTCATGTTTTTGTTTTTTTGTTTGATTCCCGATTCAAGAGCCGAATGGCTCACAGGGCTACATCTAATAAATAAACTTGAACTTGAATATCTTGTAGACGAAACATAGGAGCCGACCGGTCGTTACGCGCTCTCAGCGCAAGCGGGTTTCACGCATCAGCTGTTCGCTCCACTTAGTGACGAGCGACTTCTCCGCTACGCTCAACCGTACAAAGGAAGAAAGACCCCCCCCCCACACACACCACCACCACCACGTACAGCCGTCACAGACGTGTGGGGCAAGTGCCGTCAGCGAACCGTACGAATGCGGCGACATACTCGCATGCAATTTTTATTAAAACTACGTACGCTGGAATACCATCTTCTAAATGGAAAACGCATTTCGTTCGAACTGCTTTTCATCTTTCAATTTGTCGTCCTGCCCCGCGCACGGTTGGCGACGTACGTCGCGAACGAAGTTCAACATCGACGTACATCATAGACACATCGACCGACAGCACCACCCATTACGACCTTCAAACTTCACTCAAGTAATACACACTTTAAGGACAGCATTAGACAGAGGCTGAGTCGACCTCCACACGCGCACAGCGAGAGCGAGAGAGAGATGTGTGTGAGACGGTGGAGAAGACGTACCCATCCCCGACCACCACACACTTGATTGCCTGCATGCCTGGCACAAGCGCTCACGCCCGGCGTGCGCTTGCCAAGCCCGTGGGGAGGGGGTGGTAGGGAACGTGGTGGGGTGGGGGGGAAACCAAGGAACCAAGCAACCAAGCCTGCGTAGTAGTCGCAGAGTCAACTGCGTATGTATCTTTAAAACTCTTGTTCACATATAACGACGGGGAAGAAATGGGAAGAGAGCACTCGAGAGAGAGAGGGGGGGCGAAAGAAAGAGGCGTGTGTGTTGGAGTGGGGGGGTTGTACAAGTATGCAGTAGGCGTTCACCTGGCCGGGGCAAATACCACCTGTATGCGAAAAACAACAAAAAAAACTTCCTCTTGCCTTACAGAGCGCGACGCAAACTTGTTGGATTCCTGTCGCTCTTCACTGGCGTGGTGCCGGGCAACCTTCTCCGTGCACGCGCGGCCGTGACAACGCAAACGCCCAGACAATTTGCCCCATTCCCATAGCCGTAATAAAAGTATTTGTTTTTTAACACGTTCTATCGGTCACTCGGAAGCCACGTTTCAGCAGCGTTGATTCAAGACAAGTAAACTCTGGACCGAGTTCGACATTCGGTGTATCATCAGCAGTCATGCTTGCCTCAACTATTGCTGGAAAACTGCCAGATGTTCATTGGCAAGGACCTTACCGAATACACCAGATATGGTGTGTCCAAGATCGACGCACAATTATATATAGTACTCTGTGAAAATACAATAAGACAAAATTATGGAAGGTGAATTGTCTTGATAATTTGTGTTACTTATCTTCTCCACAACGACGCTAATGATAAGGTCGTGTTGAACGCTTTAACGGTAGTAGTTTAATGTGAAATGGTACCGCAGTGAATCGGGCAGCACTGAGTTTTGGACCTATTCAGTGCCTTTACTGCACAACTATCAATACAGGAAGCCGCATTGTTACGGCATCTCCAATATAAAACCTACAAACCTTCTACCGTACATGAGAATACAACACAAAAATATGGGATATTGGTTTTAAGGGCTTAATGTAATCCGGGTAACACTGCTGTAATAAATTAAGGCAAATGAACGACGTTCGTTTTAAAGATAAATGTGATACGTCTGATGAAAACTATAACATTTTCAAACAAAGATAAATATACTCATTGTGCCTCCCGTAACGACACACGGAGCCAACATGCAGTAGGTTTCAATCACTACATCGGTTTAGCAATGTATACTGTGGAGCACAAACCTGCCTTCATCATTATATAAACATTTACGAAGAGATTTTCTGAGCCATTTGTGAATACGACCCTATCTTCTAACAGCGGTAAAGGCTACATTAGTTAGTAGGATACAATACTGACAATACTGGCTACAGATTGTCACATTGGTTACAACTTGCATAGCATGTGCGCTCTAATAGCTTAGACATGAAAAATCAGGACGTGTGAAATGTGTACGCTTTAGGATGCAATGTTCAAAATGCATAAACCTAAAGTGTTCAAGAGTAATGGCAAGTTATTGTAAATAATGATAAATATTGTACTGTGAATACAACAGGCAAATCAAATGCACAAAATGTTACACTTATAAGTTGCGGATGCCAAGGCTTTTTCTCAAATACCGGTCTATCCACTTTAATTAATGATGAAATGCCAGTCATATAAATTAAAAATATGAATAAAATAGCTTGGATTTAAAAAAATCAAATTGACATTAATGTCACTTTAAAAAGTAGCACTTCGTTTAAAAAAAAGGTCAAACGGTTTCTACCAAATGCCACTCATAGTGGGGACATAAATCTCTGGGTTGTCCCCACTGGAAAGTGCTTGTATTGCAGTTACACCTGAACACATTTGCACAACAAAGAACTTCCTTTTCAACATTGTAAAATATCGAGATCTCGTTGATACCATTTACTGAATGGATGAGAAACATTGTATTACAGTGCACTGTACTGTACTGTAAAACAGTCCATTAGGTAGCTCCGCGATGGAAGTGGCTCGCTGATCAAAAAGTTGCAAGCTCAAATCCTGGATGGGGTTGACTCAGCCCATCATCCTTTTGAGGTCGATGAAATACGTACCACTTTTCGGGTAAATCATCAGTGGTTGTCTAAGCAGGAAACTGGCCCACACCATAGCTATGTGGAATTTCCACACTGACCCAGGACTGTCAAGGAGCACCGTCTCAATGGTCATTTTAGCAGAAAATCACGGAGAGTTATTTTCGTAAAATGCTGTCAAACAATTTAACTTTTCCTACAAGTATTCATCAATGTTGATTTGAAGCTTTCGTAACTGCAGGAATCCATACTCTTTGGTTCTTTCGGTAAAGTCACGTAGGTATAAAAGGAAATAAATCACGTTTCAGGCGCAACACAATCGTCAATCAGGTGGGAAAGCATGGTCTGCTGCTTGATGCAAACTGTTTTAAAACAGTCTGCATCAACAGCACTGCATCAGCAGCAGGCCATGTTTTAAAACAGCTTGCATCAGTAGCAGGCCATGTTTTAAAAGTCTGCATCAGCAGCAGTCCATGCTTTCCCACCTGATGACGGACGCTTGTGTTGCACCCGAAACGTCGTGATTTATTTAATTTTATACCAACGTGAATTTACCGAAAGAACCAAAGAGGAAGTATTCATCATCTGAGACACCAGAGGTTAACCTATAATTCCACCTTATGGAATTCATATTCCTACAACCATTACACTCGGTGTTTATTATTTTCAGGAAAGAAAGATGCACTCATTTAAAGGATTCTTTATTCAGCAACCTGAAGGAAATGCACAGTAGCAGAGCTAGACACTCTTTAGCAGAAAAAAAACAAGCATTCACTTACGGAATTCGCCCAAAAGACCACTTTAGGGATACATAAATAAAGCAGTACAATGGATGGAGAATTCATAGCGATGAATATATTTAAGGTGTCAAATTTAGATGTCAACTTAGTTCTTACAAAGTCTCTTATTGAAATTCTCATTTGTAAAACAATGGGGTCGATTTATTTTGTTCTAATTCCTTCGGTGGACCGTGCAGCTGGTGTCTTAAGCTTGATCTTATGCATCACAAACTCAACTGGTTATGAGACATCACTTTGATGGTGCATGCCAGTCATTGTCACATGCCGGTGTATGTATGGAGATTGAACCTTCTTTCGCAACGTACGTAGCCAACCATGCTAATCCGAGGTGCGATAATGCACTGACAAACTGCTACAAACATGGACATTTTAACATCCAAAACACCGGTGACTTCCACATTGCCAAGGAGATAAGGTACTTAGAAATGTCAAATTTAACATCAAAAATTACATTTACAGAATGTCTCCTGCATAACACACCGAAATGTAAAATAAAAATCAACTAGTTTTTCATTATCATAAATTAAATATACATATTCTTGAAATCGTACAATGAATTGTTGATATTAATTTCAAAAAGGTCCCCTCAACTTGCCACAAAAGTGGATCTGTAGTATTGGTGTAATTTGTATCGATGTACAGCGCTGATGTATTCGTTAATTATTCACTACTATTGTCACATGGGCTTAGGCGCAATAAGCAAGGCATCCCCAGCACTTCATCGCAGGTCTAGCTCTACTACTGGAAGTGCAAATGCTGTGAAGTATAGCCCCTCCAGCGCATATAAACCACTGGAATGACAGAGCGAAAAAAATCAAATATTTCAACCAAACCCACGCATCTTGCCACTATTTCTGGTGGAGGAATTACTAGTTTGACAGGAAATCTATAAAACAAATGCACATCTTTAAAATGTAACACTGAAGTAACAAATTAAAGTGATATTTTTGTTCAATGATAAAGTTGCAATGTTACCGTCGTTTTTGCCAAATCTCTTACTATACACCAATTTTCACTTTATGTACGGCAGCTTTTCAGCCAGACATTGAGGTTACAGCAGCACTATGACCTCACCCTGTCGAGATACTGCTGAATTAATGAGTCTTTCAATAATAGGTATTTTTCACTTGCAAAATAACAGCTGCTGGTAAATAAGCCTTAAACGTGTAAAGTAAATAATTTAAAATTCGATTATAGCTGTCTGTAACTAATACCAACACTAATCATGTAACATTCTTTGCTTGAAATTGTTATAAAATGCTGTTGTTTTTTTTCAATTGATACAGTTGACATTTAATTGCTAATGTCTGGGAAAAATATGATAAACTAAAGAGCTGCAGCTGTGAATGTCCGTCAAAACATAATTAGGAGGAAAACCGGGCAACACGATGATTTGTCTTTTTTTGCATCCTGTAGCTTTGATGTTCCAGGGAACATACGTCAAAAGAAAAACTTCGTGAAAGCAACGACTATCCTGTGTGTGGCAGATTGAATGCAGAAAGGACACGCATGCTTTCAGCAGCCACAGCAGTTGCAAGTGGGTTCTTTGTCGGCCAAGCCTGTGCCTGCGTTGGCCTTTACAATGGCATTCGTGTGCCTGGCAAAGTCTCTCTCAAGAGCGGGGCAGGCTGCACACTTCACACTGTGCCATGCCAGGTGGGTTGTTGAATGTGCAGTGCTTGCAGGCCCACACTGCTGCTGACGAGGACTGTGAGAAACCTCCGGCAGCACCCATGGATTCAAACTCGCCACCGCGCGGCTGCACAATCACGTTCTCTACAATCACAGCGTGCGCACACGTGGGGGACACACACAATCAGCAACCATCCACGAATCCACAGGGGCACGTTGGACTGATGAGTAAGTAAACTGAGGCGTGAACACTTGTTATATTAGCCTAGTACATAAGAAAAAAACATTTGCCCCCTATACTGTAAAGCGAAAATTAAACAATGGGATTAATTACACCACACAGATCAGTCTGCTTAATGGTACGGCACATTTTATGGGAACCTTCATGTTTTGACTCTCAAAATGCTTTAGATTTCATGTTTGATGGTACAGAATGCATGGATGCTTTGAATCGATGTAGGTAGTTATGGCATAATCAAGCATAATAAAGAGTATGTTTACAAGACCTAAAATTCTTCATATTCGTACTTATTTACAGTCAAATTAGTTTTATACTTACTGCAGAGCTGATCAAGTGTCGCCCAGTGCTCCGATTCAGAAAAGTGATGAGCCAGCGTTTCATCATTCATTTTAACAGCATCTAGTAGCAGATCCATATGATCCTGCACACCCAAATACATCAGACACAATTCACATGTCAACAAATGTTCCCTTTCACCTGTCTTTTTGGAAAAAATGTGCCAAAATCTCATTACCAACAATTACAAAATTTGTCTAGCTTAAGTGCTTCGGTTGTTTATGGAAATAAGTACGGTAAACCCTCGCTATGTGCGAGTTCTGGATTCGTGAGTTTTGCATATTTCCGAGTTAATAAATGTATACTAATGTATTATTCACGATCCGTTGGACTCCAGTCTTCGCAAGTGTACATCGTGCCAGACCAGATACCGGGGAGGTGCGCACAGCATTTTACATTTGAAACTGTTTGCGAAGATTGGGCACACCCCCCCTCCTCTGCCCGCGTAATCCTCAAGTCTTGCAGTAATCCCGCTCTGAACTCGCTATTGTGTATTTTTACTTTATATGTGCTACAGTTGACTCGTTTATACATTTTAGAATGAATGAGTCGACTGAGGTCCATTAAAAAGAATGCCAATACAATCAGGGAAAGTAATGTAGCTAGCACTCCCCAGAGTACTCGAATGACAACCGTGCATGATCAAATAACTGCGTCTCTGGATAAGTCATCCTCCTGAATTTATCACCATCTTTTGTCATCAAATCATTGTCTTCTTCTTTATAACGTATTATTTATTGTAGTCACTGTTAATAAACATTTACTATTTCACCACTATGTTCACTCGTACCTGGAACATAACCCTATTTTTCCCATTGGAACAAGGTTTCTGCGTTCACGAATTCAGTGTTCGCGAGCATTTTTAAGAACGTAACCCTCGTGGATAGAAAGGGTTGACTGTATAACAGTTCACTGCTGTACTAATGTAGATATGCATGGCTTAGCCTCTATCTACTTGCAAAACCGCATCTCCCTCCAATGCTCGGACATATACACACTCCGTTCCACAGAATCGGCAAGAATTGCACAGGCCAGGATTTTTCACCTGACGCTGAGGGGACGAGACTTCGAGTGCAGCTCCAAAAATCTGGAAGACCCTGCGCCCGGACATCTGAAACGCTCCAAGTGTCTTTCAATTTTGGAGTCTGTACAAGACATCTGTTCAGACTTGCCTTCCCATAAATTCTAAATTTTAAGTGGGAAAAACCCCCTATTTACTTATTTATTTCATTCACTACTTTCCTTTCTTATGCTATTCGTCGCACAAGTTTGCACTTCATTTTCCACGCGGTTTCAATTTATTTTGCTCAACCGTTGACAGGATTCTTTTTTCATTCCCGTTCTATGCCCCCTGTACCGTTCTGCTGTAATGTGCACTGATGCCTACTTTATTGAGGGCCATATTCGCATGTAAAAGAAGTATTGATTGAGATATCACTCACCGCTGACGTTAGATATCACTGGGAATCACTCAGTTTGCTGGGTTCAACATTGCATAATACCATCTTGTTATTTATGTAATTCCATCATCAGTCAATCATCTGGTACAGTTTACCAAAGTCAAATTTGTCTTACAATGTACAAGTCGTGTTGTCAATTAGAAAAGTTGGTACTTTTTGAAAAGGTATTTCAATGTTTTCCAAACAATAAATGCAAACGTATTCACTGTGCTGCTGATTATGTACCCAAAAATGCACAAACCCATCCAAAATTATTTAAGTTTGATAACAAAAAACACATATTTGCTCATAATATAGATATAATTTAATCTTTTGCACTTAATCATCAGCAGTTTTGGTCTAATAGAATTCATCTTACTACCCGAACATTCACTGCAGCGTATATGGACAGTTGCTAATGTGTTGGCTGATTGACACGATGCCAGCAGAGTAGTAGTTTGCCAGTATTCCAAAATAACTACACGAAGGCAGCCACAACCACTGCCCCTCGATTAAATGCTGTTAGCTCCTCCTTGCTGCACCTGCACGATGTGTTTCCATGACTCACCCTGAGAGACATGACATCGTTTGTGGCAAGAAAGATGAGCAGATGGAAATTGGCCAGTGTCTCCAGAAGGCTCTTGCTGCCTGGCTGTGCGAGGTAATCTGCGAGGCTGCTGAAATCCTGTAACAAAACATGGTGGTGGACACAATCAGGTTATTAAATGCACATAGGCAGGCATATTTTGTTTTGCCTAAATGCCTAAATCCAATCATCTGATATTGACATACTTCATTGGCATCAATATGCTAGCTTTAAAGCAATCACAAAGGTAGATTTTTCATATCGTACAAACACATCGCAAAAGCATTCTATTAAAAAACAATGCAATCTTAGAAATGGTTACAAGTAGAATGTATGTAATGCTCAACCCTTAGCGGTATAAGAAAAGGCTCATGTACAAGATAAATATTTTATGATGAAAAGCAGTTTGCCCAAATGTTCTAGAAGATATATTGTATAGTGCATTATAAAAACAGCACTTGAGGGGTGCCTGTGCAGTGTCCAGACTCTTCACGGTAAATGCCACGGCGATTTTACCTGTGTCTCGCCAGTGATCTCCCGGTTCTCGATCGGAAACTGTGTTGTAATTGTGCTGAATGTGTACTGTGGCTCCCTCGGGAACGTTGTGGGGATCTGAACAGTGAAGAGGGAACAAACGTCAAGGGTGCATTCTAACTGATCATAAAAGTCTCACACTCATTAAATAAGCAAAATTAAATGGAGTTTAAATTAATTAACTTTTAGTTAACTCACTGCTGGATCAGGGTCTGCCTACCCGATTATTTGACCAGACTGCTCTACACTGCTCATTATAGGTTGGTGAAGGCGAGATGCATCAAAGTGGGAGAATATAAGTACAGTACAACAATGGATTTAGCTGTACTACATTCTGCAGCTCACAACCCTACACCCCTCCAAGCACTATCCAAGCTGAACCATGCTAAGCTCCCGAGATCTGACGAAATCGGGTACATTCCAGGTGATTTATATGCAGCCACAATCCTAACCCATTTCTTGTCTATGCAAATTCATCTTTGCTCTCATAATACATTTTTGAGGTCTCTTCGTATTGATCCCTCATTAATTAGTGTTGGTGTGCGCTCTATATCGGCACAAAGCAACGGCAGTGAACACTTACGTCGATGATCAGGTATTCCAAGGGAAGTGGCCGAGCCAGCTGCGTGATTTCATTGCCAAATTTGTCTATGTCCTGATCGCAAGTGAAAAAAAGTGGGCACAACTTTTTTTTCCATACACTTCAAGCTGAGCAACATTAAGGTAACATTACTTTGTACAATAAATATGTATGCTCACTGTAAAATGTAAAAAATGTGTTTCTCGTACAGCTGAAAAGATTCATAATACATCGATTGTCAATTATATTCATCGGCAGGCATTTTAAAATAGAGGCAGTTCGTGAGTTATTTGACCATGCTTCATAATGCAAGTCGGTTTGTTCTGTTACTTGTGTAGGTTATCTTCACCAATCTGCGAAACAAATACGGCACATGTACAGCCCGTTTTTGTCAAACCACTGCTGGATAAAGGATTCCCCACACCTTGCGGGCCATGAGGAACATTTCATAATATTTCACTATGCTGGTGAGGGTGCTGAACAAGTAACAGAACATAAACAAGGAGATGTCCATATCACTTGACCTTCCAAAAAACTGCCACTGTACCATCAGAACTTTATCATTAAAACACCTCGCAGCGTGGGAATAAAGCTGCAGGGAGACTGGCGTGCATAACCGACCTTGTAAAACACGTCCGGGACGTATTGCTCACTGGACGACTCCTTGACGAAGCCAAGCTCGGCAGCGTCGCGCGTGGGCAGGAGGCAGTCGTCTCGCACCAACGCCATGCACTGGTTTGTTACCTGGTAGCCTTCAAAGTGCACCTGATTGTCTGGGCCCCCTGTTCAAAAGAAACCCAGTCATATGAACACCGAGCAAGCACCGCTGGGGGATTGATTTGCGGTTCAAATCTGGATTTCTAATTAAGCCAGGTTCTCAGGTCAGTTTCAGGTTGTACGTCTGTTTAACTTTTTTCGCACGGTACGTAGCCAACTGTGCAAATCGGAGGTGCGGGGAAGGACAACAAACTAAACACAAAAAAGCAATTCTAAAGAAACTAGTTTTCAATCTAGATTTACAAGTGCATAGCTCCAGTGGCTTCTTAATATTGTAATGAAGTGTTCAAGACGGCTACAGAAGAGCATCTGAAAGCGCGTGATGCGGTAACCATCTTTGTAATGCTTTAAAAAAGATCCAAATAGATACTGCGTCTCATGAGCACACAAAACAAAAAAACTTTACGTACACATGTCATCGGAAAAGATTCAGATGAAAAAGTGATGATGTACATGTATGTCAACGGAATGGGAAAGCGTTCATTCTGAAATACAATTTTGGAAAAACACAATAAACCTGTTGACATCATACACAAATCGGAGACTTTGTGACTTACCCGACAGAAGTCCATAAAACATGTCTGGTTTGAACAGTATTGCTTTAAATTCACCCAATACACTGATGCAAAATATCATAGCTATTAAATTAATCAATCTTAAAATTGGGGAAAAAATAATAAATCAGGTACCAGTGGCTACGACTGTCACAAACTTGGAGCCAAAGTGTCCGTCCGGTGAGAGTCGGCAGGGGTTGGGATTTGCGTTCTGAAATTCTCCAGCCATGATGCACTCTTCTGCGCTCATAAAATGAGAGTCCTGTTCCCAATGCACACAACAACAACAGCAACAAGTTCCCTTAGTTTTTCAATACTTTCTGTAATGATATTTGTGGTAAGAGAAAACATGCATGAAAATGATTATCCCCTTTGAAGTGCAATGCAATTGGTAAACAGATCAACAACAACCATCATTCGCCACTAAATGGAGGTGACATCACCACGGCGTTTGTGCCAGGCTATGTGCACTTTGCGGCCACGTAACTTGCTGTGTTTTAGCTGTCCGGCGCTCAGCTCGTTGTTGCCAGCATCACTCCTCTGCCATATGCTGTTGGAGAACGACTGCCTCCAACTGCCCAGTAGTGTCCTTCACGAGCCTCTTCCACAGAGGCCAATCTTGATACTACTGGTTCTAGTCATCAGCAAATCCATTCAGCTCCATATCCTCATGTACCAAATCAGTTAATCTCTTCTCTAGCCTGTGCCATGCCCGTTTAGCCCCATTCTATCCGGCCAAACAAAAGCTGTTTGGTTATGCAGTGGCTCGGCATGCAAGCTACATGACAAATCCACCGCAGCATTGCCGACCAGAGGCACTCACCAATGGGACTGTGTTCAGATATTTCAAGGATTAGTGAGCTCCTCACACATTTCAGTCTGGTTAAACCCAGGATGGATTGTAGGCAGGCCAACCTGAATGTTTCTAACCGGCAGATAGGTTCCATTAGGGGGGATCCACGTTTTGCAAGTATAGTGGAGAGGACATGACGGTCGCCGAGAAGACCCAAAGCTTTGTGTAGAGCGACAGACCAGGTCGCTTCCACACAGCGTTATGCAGCCGATGAAAAGATAATCCCCCGTTCGACTGATTCTGAGCGAGACCTCTGCTGTCAAAACCAGAGGTGGTCATAAGCACACTGCCCAGATTTGGAAACCTCTCCCATCTCTCCACAACTGATCCATCACCAATGGGGAATTGAGGTGGAGTGTTGAATGACACAAAATACCCAGGCAGGTGCTTAGTTTTGGTGGGGCTGATGATAAGGCCCCACCTCTTAGTAGCACATTCCAGGTTCAGCAGCAGCACCTTCAACTCGTTCACCGAGTCAGCAGCAATCATCAGATTATAATAATTATTATTTACCAATCGGGAACCATCCCTCGACTGCACTCCGGCATTTATTTGCCTCCAATTGTATGTGTACCAGATGGAAATTCCTCCGGTACAGCCATGGAAGGCTTCTCAAACTACGTGGTTGAAAAAATATGTTAAATAATGTAGGAGCCAGGGTAAATCCCTGTCGCACCCCAAGGTGAACAGGGAATTGTTCTGACTCCCACTCACATAGCTTTACCGGGACCTGCCAACCATCATGAAGGTCCTGAATGAGCATGAGCAGAGAGTTAGGGACTCCAAAAGCACAAAGAACAACCCAGAGCCCTGGCCTATTGATGGCATCATATGCGTTTGTTGTCCTTCCTCCGTACCTCCGATTAGCACGGTTGGCTACGTATGGTGTGAAAGAAGTTCAACATACATACATAGACTAGGTCAATAAAGCAGAGATGTAGATGCTGTTGGAATTCCCTATACCTCTGCTGTAGCAAACAGAGGATATGACATCTGTTCAGGACTGCCCTGGCCTGAAAACATATTGGCGCTCCGCAAGCCTCTTCTCAGTGTACCTGCCAAGGTGATTTTGAGCAATCCTGGTCAAGACCTTTCCCATCGCACTGAGGAGGGAGATACCCCTATAGTTGTTAGTCTGTGCATTCCCCCTTCTTAAAGAAGGAACCACCAGGGCATTCTTCAAATTGTGTGGAACTCGTCCTGTGGTCCAGACTGTTGTAATCTTCTTCCATATATATAAAAGGGAAATTTGTGAAAATGTTTAGCATACTTCCCGACACGCAACAAACTTGAAATTTGGCATGTAGGTAGTTTCCAGACTGTACACAATGCAAAAAGTATAAAAATAGACTTTTGTATGTGGCAGCGTTACGCAATGTGTGCCTGCTGACGTCACGCATCCCCCCCCCAACCCTCCGTGTAGGCCGTGCCGTGTATAAATCCAAGACAAGAATCCAAGTCCCGGGCGAAGCCGGGTAGTAAAGCTAGAGATGTCATATAGGACAGTCTTAAAACAAACACCACCCTCTTTCAGCAGTTCGCTTGGGAGATTATTTTTGCCCTGCATTTTTCCTGGTCTCAGACCCTGGATCACCTTCCATACATCCTGAACAGATGGCAACGCTGCCAGCCACTCACAGGGGGTGATTAATATTTGAGGCATCGCAGCCCCAGCAGGGTCATCCCTACCTTGCCCTATTATGTTTTTTGGGATGAGGGATTTCCCCTCCCCCAAGATCTCACAGAAATCATTAATCATCATCTCGCTGAGATTAAGTCAGTGCAGATTTGAATGGGTTTCTAGGTGGACACACACATCCGCAGTGGAAGATTGGTAGGTACATTTTACAGACGACAAGCTGATGTCAAGGACATGGGCCCGCATCCGGTGGCCCGTCAGTATATAGTCTAGCAGATGTTCGTGCTTGGACCCAGCATGCATCAATGACGCTGTATGGATTCGCCTATGCCAGAACAGCGCATTGGCAATTACAAGCCAATGGGCTGCATAGAAGTCTAGCAGCCTCCTATTATTATTGAGTTGATTTGGCCCATGCTTTCCAATCACTCCAGCCCAGGTACATGGATTATGACCCACTCAGGCAATAAAGGCACCGAACAGGTATCACACACCCACCAACCGGTTTTGGTAATGGGCTTGCGAGAGAATGTAACTAAACAAGTGGCAAAGCGAGGCATCCAAATGAAGGAAAATTACCTTGTGCCGAATATATTTTACAGTGCCTTTTCTTGTGTCTTCTGGTAGCAAGTCAGTAAAAATCCAACCGACCTGCAAAATGTACAAGCAGGAGTTATAGACGTATTGATGAGCATTTATTCAGTCTCGCTCACAACCAAAATAATTGGATTCTTCCAAGTCTATTGCACAAACAATAACTTTACACATTTTTATTTTCACATGTATCCTTTAGTTGGACAGATAACAAAGCATGTGTGTGACAAGCCTTGTCTGTCCCTTCATCCACATTATCTGGCATGGGTGCTACAATGTTAATGTAGCCAGTGTTGGTGGTGGTTATAATGATGCGGCACTTACCTTTCTCAGACCCAGCTTTCCTGCAATCTCATCGACCACATCGGCACGTGGGTCAGGTAACAGTTCCAAGCTGTTCTCCGAGCCCTTCTGTGCTTAATGGAGGTTGAATAGGTATAAAAAACCAAACAATCAGTGGTGGGCAAGACAACATGATATATATTTTCTACACATATTCACTGCAAACATACATTTCATTTTTTAAAAAAATCCCTAATGTTTTAAGGTAATTTTCTTCTCTACATAGATACTGTGAATCAGTAGAATACTGCTAAGAACAAAAAAATATCTATTCGAATGGCTGCTGGTTCAGAACAAGCGAATGACTACTTAACACACAATTCATTTCACTGATGAACACATTCATAATTACTGCATTACGTATTTCTTGCCTCATATTCCTTGTGTATCATGAAGGTTTGCCACCTACATTTTGGACACGTGGTGTGAATGTGTGGTTGACACCAAATACCAGGTCCTATATATAGGGGTTCCTGGTGAGTAGGGGAGGCCAATGAGATTGCCACAGGCCTCCCGGCATTACAAATTCCAGTGATTGCTTGCTTAATTGTGACCGAATACTTTATTGTTTAACCGAAATTCCTAAAGGCAAACTTTTGACGTAATACCCCATCCAAACACTTGGTAGAGTAGTGAGTCCTCACCTGCGGAGGCTCATATATGGCGGCGAACTTCTGCCCGTATGGCCAGGGGGATATCTTTGTGCTCCACGTAGCGGCCGTACAGGAAACCCACGCGCTGCTGCCCCGTATTCCGCCAGCAGTTGAGGAAGCAGTCGGCAATCGTGTTATTCTCAAACATGATGTTGTCCACATGGCGGTATTTCTACACACGATGTACATGCACAAGATAATTCGCTAAAGATATCAAAAGATAAAAAAACATACACATCTTTAAGATGGATGCGTTGCTGCTAACGTTGTCTGCCGAGTTGCCTTTGACAAAAAGAGCTTCATTGCTCAATGGGTTATACTCGGGTAACTTCTGAAAAAGTATGACATCCACCCAGTTCAAGCATTGCAAGCTCTTGCGCAGATCATTTTAAACAACTACCCTAGTACCTGTCTGTTGAGGGTGATCGCACTCGGCTGGCACTTCGTGCAGATACCATCAGGCCATGGCGGGTGGCCCTCACACCCAGACTTGATCTTGCAGCTGATGTTCTCCAGTGCAACAAACTTCCCCCTGGCACGAGTGGCACAAAAGAAAAGGTCAATGTCGTAAACAGTGCACCAGCTGTGGAATTTGCATGATGACAGAACAACACAACAAACATGCGTGCACTGGCTGGAACAAGCAGAATAAGCAATTGTTCGACAAAGGCAAAACATTTATGGCATGGTAGTTCATGCCTGTAATCCAGAACTTGCAGGGAAGTATTGGCCTATCACGTAGGTACAAACATTCCAAATCTGCTGTGCTGTGGGGTGACGGGGAGATGGCTATAAAGAAGGTGGGTTCAGACCTTTAGTGTTTCAACAACTACCTGTGCTTGGATTTCTTTCCACATGCAACAGCTCAATTAAGGACTCTCTTAAAAGAGACACATACTCCATTTTAGATAAGCAAAACAAGCTTGCTCTGTTTGAACACACTTTGTTAATGCAGAACATTGAAATTACTCGTTGAAACAGGACACAAGCATAATGTCTCAACTGAAAATTTGAAATGCAAAAGCAAACTGGAGTGGTCGAGGTGTACCAGGAATCGGTTCATGTCTCTGCCTTTAACACTCACTTGTCGGCACCACCCGTCAGCTTGCGAATGTAAGCATGGAAGGGCATGTGCTTGACTGGGGGATCCAGGTGGTTCAAGTAGTCTTCATCAAATGGCTGTGAGGGGGAGACAGCAAGGGAAACTGTGAGCGCCAGTGATCAATCTATGTTATCCAATAATGCAGCACTCAACACTGAGTGTAATGGTCCACCTAACCCCCTGTACAGGGTCTTTATACACCAGATCATATCTCAAAATGTGTATTATCAGGCCATTTGACCTTTTGTCAATCCACTTCGAGATGAAGGCCTCAACCACGCCGTGTCGGTCATGGGGTTGTATGACCATACTTCACTACGCTCATCATTTAGGGTTGGTGAAGGGGTGAAACAGGACTGGTTCCAATATCACTCGCCACCGATGATAGTCATGGCTTGGAATCTAGGTCAGGTCACCTACTTCATAATTGATACCCCCTAACCAATGATGCCATTGTTCCACCCCAGATAACACCTGTGGGAAACGTAATTACAAAAACCACTTTAACCATTTCAAATATGCACTTATGACTATATGTGTATATAGTTTCGTTTAACAAGTATGTCGGGTGACAATGGTACATTTTAGTCTAAAACTGCTCTGAAGAACAGTTGATGCTTTTAGGATATGTTGGCACACTCCAGGTACGTGCACATTACAGTTGTGAACTTAACTTTCAATTAACCTCATATTATTTTAATACCCGCTACGCACAATCAACATAGCAAATGTAAATATATGATTCCTTCTGTATTGGAAAGGACAGCAACATTCTAAATGGGTATAAATACAAATTAGGAAGGCACGACACAGCATATTTAAGAATGTTGACAATGTCTAACAACCACAGATGGTAAGTGGTTGTATAACTGGACTGACAGGTGAAGGGTTAGATGCCTGTGTATACCACCCCTGAGGACATACAAATAAATATATTGGCTGACATTTTTGCAAACAACTCCTGTAAACTTGAACAAGTGAATGAGACAATTTTTTAAAAGTCAAGTGTGAGTGGGCTCAATCATTTCAAAAATAAAACTAGTTGTTTGTCGAAGATATAGTTTATTAGTGTAATCCTACTTAACCAATCAAATAAGTCAATAAACAAATACTAATTTACATTGTCATTCTACTGCTACATGGCCTCAAATTGCCATGTAGGGTCATGGATTTTTTTTTACCACACCTAACCATGCTGGTCAGTGCGGTTTTAAAGGAAGCTCAGGACTGGTTTCATATATCACTTTGTTCACGGTGCAGTGCACATAAACTACTGCTGCACAAAGTTAGCTAACAGAGGAAAAATATACACACCACATTTAATAACAAGGAACAAAACTGGTTTTAACTTTAGTGGTGACCTTTAGATTGTTTGTGAATTTAACAAATTCGACAAATCGGAAAACCTAATGGGATGTTTTTTAAACACAATATGATCTTCCCTTAATCCCCTAATACTAACTTACAGCCACTGTTGAATGAAGGTCTTGTTCTGCCGTGTTGGTCAAGGAGGTTGTTTTACCATAATTTGCCATGCTGCTAAGAGGCATCGTAGGACTGGCTCAGATATAACACGCGAAAGCCTACCTGTCAAAATCAATTAAGGTTACTTGATTCATAGCACATTGCACTAACCACCCATGCCAAAGTTCTATCCCTCAACCACATAGTGGAATTTAATTTGAATCATGTAAATCTGACACGTGCAGGTCAAAAGCTTTACCTCCAAGGGCACACAGTGCACACACTTTCCCATCGGTCCATGGCGGCAACTGAGAAGGAAATGAAACACAAAGATAAGAATCCCAAAATCTGTACTTAAAAGTGCAACCTCTACTAATAGGTATTTTATAATAATCAATGTAAAACAAAGTGGCAACAGCAAAGTTTTTCATAACAAAAACATCTCAGATTTCAATGCGCAATACAAAAACTAAATGTCGTACAGTATTCAAATGCAGGCAGCCCTCACTCAAGGAAAACGAGACTATATTGGGACTAGCTGTTGTAGTTTGAAAGTCAGTGCTATAAGCAATTTTTAAAACTACTTTCGACGCAAACACAGAAATAAACACGTCATACATGCCGCAGTACGCAGCAGTATTTTCCAGGAATAGCATCAACACATGTCACACAGAAGGTTGACTCAGCTGTTTGTATTCATTGTTATTTTTAGTAATGCTCTAAAGACAATCAGAGGACATTTCCCATTTGAACAAATTTCAGACAGCTAAATTGACGTTAAATTTATGACAGCTCTATTATTTGGATGCATTCATAAAGATATCACTTTATGAACAGATCTACAAATAAATGATAATAGCTAAATTATTTAAGATGGCACTCCAATTACTGCATGCCGACAGGATGACAATGCTAAAACTGACCAGGTCTGCTCATGCATTTCTTACGCGGCAATAAAAGTGCATTACACAATTTAGTTTCATGAAGGGAAATTTCCAAATTAGTCATTCAAATTGGCAGAACATTTCCTATGCTAGCCAGAGATAGCTAAGGTGCCCGTAATGTTCACTTCATAGCTCAGTGGACGTGATGGGCTTTGAACTGCCAAGAGTGCTATACTGATTAACAAGCATATGAATAAAACTAACAATCAGGCAGGTAATGGTGCAGCATTACCAACAACACCACTCGCAGCAGTAAGGGATGCAGACTCACAGCTGAGTGTCGCGGTTGCGATAGATCTTTCCCTCCTGCTTCGACAGGTACTGGTCAATCTCTTCCTCCACGATGCCCTGCGTTGAAGCCTGGGCATTGGGAAAACCTTGTCGCTTGGCTACAAGTGTCGTGCTTGTGCTGGGGCCCGCTTGGGCCAGCAACGACACAGAGCCACGCACCGACCCCACCGCTGCCCCTGTGTCCATGGCTTCGGCGGACGTGGAGGGCATGGCTGAGTCCGGAAATAGGTAAAGCATATCTCCATGCCTGTTCGCACAAAAGACAGCCAAATGGAGATTTCCAATGAGTCATTATTTTCCCGCCCAGCCTTTTCACCGATGTCGAAGGGCCCATAAACTTCCGACAGCAGTTAACTATATACAGTAATACCCCGATTTTTACGCCCTTCCGATTTACGCACTTTCGCAATAATACACTCAACTTATTGAGACCGAATTCCATTTTACGTACTGTGTACCTCGTAAAAATGTACTGAAGACTTACAAACTTAACCATTAAGCCCCAAATTATATACATTCCACGGTGAACATTCAGGCGCCAAATATCCTCAAGTGCCCAAGCGTCAGCATCCCTGACTGGCTAGTCTCTTTAATGTGTACTAAATTTATAGATGCGCAATGGGTTACTTAGCATCCTATGTTTAGGTATAGTACCACATTACAATCCACCGGAAATCCTTCGATTTAAGTACTTTTTATTTACATTCTGGTTTTCAGGATCGCATCTTGGGTGTAATCCAGGGTATGCCGGCACCATCTGTCAGTATTGTTTTCATGTCAATCCTGTCTGTTATCATGCCTACTCCTCCACTCCATCAGTTAATCTGTTTCTCAGTCACCCTCTGCCCGTCACCTTCCACGAGTGTTGCCAATGCTTTTGACATGACCAGACCACAGCAGTCTGCATTCCTCAATCCTTTCGATGGATTCATCAGGATATTATTAGCCATTTGGTTGAAAATCTCCAATATGTTAAAGACTTTATATGCATCGACATAGTAGCGTATGTCCTAATTTCAAACAGCCCTTTCCGTGGCAGATTTGTCAGTTATTACTATGTGATTGAGTCTAGAATTAAACTGCATTCCTTGCAAGAGCTTTCTGTAATTAGGCAGATAATTTTCATTGCTCTTTCGGTACATTCATTTATTATTTTAAATTAACTTCTCACAACAGAATCTCAAGTAAAACGACACTTACTAACGGCATTTAATTTTATTCCAGGCAGAATATAAAAAAAACTTTTAAACTACGAAAAAAGATAGCAATGGTCCTTAAAGCCGAGAAATACATAACCCATGATCACAGGTTAATACATTTATAGAATGGAAAGGGAGTCTTACGCCCATCTAAGAAGGTACTAGTATTCAAAAACACAAAGAGATATAGAACATTTATGCCAACATTATACGTATTTAACTCTAAGACTATTTAAAGGGTTATGTATTAGATGTATTTCAAATAATTTCTGAACAAAGTAAAGCTATGTTGTTATAACCAACATCACCAGCCATGATCTATCCACTGATGGATGAAGGCCTCAATACACTATAATCGCATGTGGTCTTGCTATGTCACAATCCATCTTACTTATGCATGTGAATTGATTTCATCACTCCATCAAGTTGATTCACCTCTTAGGTGTGTTCTCTGCTTTAACTGCCATTCCATCAACAGCTTTTCAATTGGCCATCAGATCTTATAACATGTTAGTTCTCTTTCTCAGTGCAAGTCCCGGAACGTATTTCTCTTAGTTTCTTTGCATTGTTTTATTTTACATGTTTTCACATTTTTCATAAACAAAAGCAATTGTTGGGAGGGACACAGAATATGTATACCTGTGACAATTGATGAATTCAAGAATAAAGAGGTGAGAGCAGGTTGAACTGCTTCCTGAAAACTACATTTGATAATGGAAATAAACATGCCAATGTGCCTAAAAAATACATTAAAAAAACTAGATACGACCTGCTATGATATGAATCAGAGCTGAAGACCGCAACAAGAAGGACATTCCGCTTACTTAATATTCAGTGCAATTAGAGACTGTCGGGACTTCCGGTTGATCTCGCCGCTCTTGTCTCGGTTCTTGCATATGACAAATCCATTTTCAGAGAATCCAAACTCTGATGACACCTGCAGAGAACATACAAAATATATTTAATTTCAGGCAACTGTGGAAATACTGTTAAAGCCCAAATTACTGTATTATTAAACTGATTGGATGACATCTTAATATTAAATAGAGACCTTGGCAAGTGAAAACTACACACATATTTCACAGCCACCACATATGAATACAATATTACCTCACTCCAGTACAGCACAAAAGGAATACGCTGGCACTTGGTGATCAGTATAGTATTTGTACAAATTACCTCAGAATTGCCTAATCATGCAGTTTGTGACCTTCAATAGTGGAAGCTATCATTAAAGAAATAACTATAGATCGACAGTAGCCTCATTCAGGCACGTTGGGCTGGTGGTTCTGGCATTGCGAAGACTTATTTTCTAATTCCCACGCAAAGAGACATCCGAGCCATACATGGTCCTCAAATGTTTGGGGGCAAACTTCTAGAATGCCTAGTTAAGTAATAATGATGACCACCATGACATGAAGATAATAAAGTTTCATTTACTGCCCTACAACTGGTTCAATCTGAGAATGTATAAGTGATGCTACATGGCAAGCTAAGTAAAACATTACCTTACTTATCCGTGTGAAATGCCTACATTACATGGTGACGCAATCCAAGAAGCATGCGTTATTGTGCACCCCCATGAGGATATTGTTCACTGTGGACATCCGCCTTTGCGTACCACTGTGTATTGTTCCCAGGTCTCCCTTTCATCCCAGATCATGTACAACACATTTTATCTACCTATGTGGACTGAGTGTACTGTGTAATTTTGGATGTACATGCTGTGCATTTTGAGATGGTTGTGACATAACTTGTAATATATGTATTCTATGTTCTCAGAATGGTTATGTGGGAATGTTTAATGCTTTAGGTTTGTGTTTTTTAACGTGATTGAAAAAATGCAAATGTGGTACCATACTAAGATAAATAAAAAACCCACTTAGGTTTCACTAATCATAATACTGACACAGTTGCAATACATCTTAATAAAACAATGGGATTACATTCTACCATGCAAAATATTCACAACAATGACCACACATGCATTCCCTTCATCATTATGAATTAAATGAAGTATACAGCACACAATTCTACTTAAAATATATGGAACTTTATATACTTTTGAGCAACCAAAGCCGTTCCACAAACCTTAATTGTACCAAACCTAAGTGCATTCAGATATACCAGGGATAATATTTCAGTATGTATATTTTATATTCGCAGGCTTTAAGTGATTTGGCAGGCTGTCGAAAACTGTAAAGATTCTAGCACCATCCATGCAGATGTGGCGTACACTCAGAGTTAATGACCCTTTATACACGGACATTTAAGGGAACAATGCCTTACCGTACTGTTTTAAATTTTATATGGAACGTTTAAAACACCTATTACAATACCACAAGAGCCCATGCAAAATATGGCTAGCTACATTCACATTTCCAGACCACTCAATGCAACGCATGCATGAAGAATTGATTTATAATCATGTTTTACCTTTTTTAGAAAATCTGCAGCCGTCTCCCTTCGAGTTACCGGAACGCGCCTTGTTCCATCTGGAGACTGGACACGAATGATCTAAAAAAAAGTTACAAAAATACAAGTCCTTTTAAAGATGTACAGAAGTTGTTTCATGCCATCTAACAACGTTACAAGGTTAAGCATTTACTGAACATGTACCTCATGGTAAGACTGGTATAAATAGAATGTGGTGTTCAAAAATAAGCATGGCTTTAGGGTGTGGATCTAAACAAGAAAGTTGTAATGTGCAGCACTTTGATAAACATCAATTCGCATGTAAACTGTTGCCCTATATTAATTCCACTTATTGACAAAGAAAATATAGCACCAAATCTGAGAGCTTCAGAATCAATCAAATATGAAGCAGTTTCATATCCCTCGTACACATCTCCTCGTGTTGCCCGCCTGCAGGTCTGCATTGTCAACGGCTTATTAAATTTCAGCACAGCTTAGGTTAAGCTGCATGTAAGTTTACACCACAATACTACCTTATACCCACCACCCACACATACATTATTTACAGTCGAATGAGACCTAACGTATGTGCTGTGCATTCTTACTTTAATAATTGTCTATGCATAAGGAAGTAATAAATAATTCCGTTTTTTTTTAACAAGAGCATGCTCCCTCAACAACATAGAAGTACAGAACTGGGTTTCTCATGTCACCGGGCATAAAGGAAGTTGGCATGCCCAGCAATCAGAGACACTGATTGCATGCAATGGAAAAACTAACCGCACAGAGGCTCAAGTACAACACTATTGTCCACAAGCTTAACATATTCATGATGAATTACGAACTTTATCATTCATGATGCACATCTGCGTTACTGCCTGTTTTTTTGATGTCGAGGGTTACAAGACAAGCATCAGCAACCATTAATTCTGAATGGATTGTCACTATGAAAGCACATACTGTATCGTTTATATATTTAAAAAAAAGCACGATATATGCCATTTTACAAAAAAACCCACGTAGGATTGTGAAGATGAACGGCAAATTTCCCCTCTGTGGCAAATCGAAATAACCTTTACAGCTGCTCAGACATTGTGCTCAAAGAGTTGTATGCATGGTTTTTGTTACACAGTACATTGTAAAATAATTTCCAGCCATACCGAATACACGCCAAGTTGGGTCACGCGATTTAATATTTTCGTGCCATACTTCACCAGGTCCATCAGTGTGGGGTTGGCGAAGGTGGTGGGGGGGTCACATCATAACTTTCTGCTGCCGTGGCCGGAAATCGAACTCGAGACACCAGGTTGATAGCTTAGCAATAGGGCACTTAACCAATACTTTGTACCACCGCTCCAATCGACAAAGTAGGGCATATGTGCCGGTGTCGCGGTTACAAATGTGACCATCTACCCAACTTGTAACAAAATAAACAGCAACAGCGACCACCCCCCCCCTCCCCCTCTACTATGAGCACAGGGCAGACTATACCCGCCTGTGAAACATAGCGCCTTTGTGATAGAATCAAGACACGCAATCATGATTTAATACAATAATTCAAATAGGTAAATTGAATAGGAAACATATAATGACATCTCAGAAATGTATGTCATTATACAAAGGTATTAGCTGTGTATCTGGCCAGCAGAATGCTGACAACGTAGCCGAATAAACAATGTACAGATCATTTATCTTCCGAAATGATCTGTACATAGTTGCAGCTGTACCAAGCAGACAGCACTTGTCACGGAAACTGGAGTTGGTTAACCTGGGTGCTGCCGATGCCTGGAATAGACCGATGGCCTCATGTAAGAGGCCAAATGTAAGCGTCAAATAAGACCATGCGTCTTACTCATCAGGCGAGACAAAACTTACGACTCCCCTGACACAAGTGGCAACAAGGTGGACAACACGGGAGGAGGACTTGGTGGTGGTGGACGAGGAGGAGGGGGGGGGTCACGGGGAAAACACCGCGGACGCCGCGGGGAGTGAGAGGAGGACACGGGGAGGTCGTGGACAGACGACGAGTAGGAGGAGACACAACAGGTGTTGGGCCACACGTCGGTGGACGCGAGGTGGACGCCAGGAGTAGGAGGAGACGACTGCGTCCGCCGAGTGGCCAAATTTTGCCAGATCATCGCTGCCTCGGGCCCACGTAGCCGACGACAACAAGGACCACAACAACCACAACAACCACCACCACCATCACCGCCAACGTCAACCACCGCCGCGGCTCCCTCCGCCGCCGTCCCCTGTCGCCCCTCGCCCCCCTCGGCGCGACCGCCTCCTCACCAAGTCGCCCATCGTCGCCCGCGGCCTCTCCACTCGCGCCCTCTCTCTCGGCGGCTTCCGCCCGGCGACTCCTTCACGGCGATCGATTCCGCTGCCGGATCGATTCCAGATTCTCTTACCCCCCTCCCCTCTCTCAACACCCCTCCCGCAATCCTCCCCTCCTCCCTCAACGCTCCCCCCCCCTCAACAACCACCCCCCTCAACAAGCCCCCCCCTCCCCTCAACAACCCCCCCCCCTCAACAACCCCCCCCCCTCAACAAGCCCCCCCTCAACAAGCCCCCCCCTCCCCTCAACAACCCCCCCCCCTCAACAACCCCCCCCTCAACAAGCCCCCCCTCAACAAGCCCCCCCTCCCCTCAACAACCCCCCCCCCTCAACAACCCCCCCCCTCAACAACCCCCCCCTCAACAAGCCCCCCCCTCAACAAGCCCCCCCCCTCAACAACCCCCCCTCAACAACCCCCCCCCCAACAACCCCCCCCCACAACCCCCCCCACAACAACCCCCCCCCCTCAACCCCCCCTCAACCCCCTCCTCAACCCCCCCCCCATCAACAACCCCCCCCCCCTCAACAAGCCCCCCCCTCCCTCAACAAGCCCCCCCCCTCAACAACCCCCCCCCCCACAACAACCCCCCCCCCCCCACAACAACCCCCCCCCCACAACAACCCCCCCCTCAACCCCCCCACCCTCAACAACCCCCCCCCCACAACAACCCCCCCCCCCACAACACCCCCCCCCCACAACAACCCCCCCCTCAACCCCCCCTCCCTCAACAACCCCCCCCCCACAACAACCCCCCCCCCCACAACAACCCCCCCCCCCACAACAACCCCCCCCCCCCACAACAACCCCCCCCTCAACCCCCCCTCCCTCAACAACCCCCCCCCACAACAACCCCCCCCCCACAACACCCCCCCCCCCACAACAACCCCCCCCCCACAACAACCCCCCCCTCAACCCCCCCACCCTCAACAACCCCTTTAACAATCCCCCCCCTGAACCCCCCCCCCCCGCCATTAACCGTTGGCTTGGGATGCGACGAGGAATCGATTTTGCGATTCTTACTCGTGTAGCAATTTGAAACGTATGCGCACGTTTTATCAATCGTTAAGCAATATACGGAGGTCGCTTTCGAAGTTGCGCGTTTCATTTATTCGCGACCGTTGCGGCTGCTCGCCGATCATTTTAATTCTTTAAAGGGGAATAATCATCACACCGATTTCGGTTCTGGTTCGATTTAAAAACTCGCCGCCTGTCGATTCCCTTTCATGTAGATTCCCTCTCAAATCGATTCTTCGCATCGTCCTCCCGTCGTGCGTCGCGCGCGAGGGCGCCACACTGCGCAGGCGCACTGGCGGAATAATCGCCTCTGTCTGCGTAACGACCGCAGGGTTGTGATTTTAAACCATCAGACTCGGAAGTTGATTTGCCAAGTTAAAGGGCTCAGTGAGCTAAGAAGATATTTTTTTTTTCCAGGGCGACTCGACTAGCAGACATCAAAACGATCCACACTTACATAGTAAAAACAATAAAAATTATGTTGTAAAATTACGTGCACACTTAAACTTTAGTGATTGCTGTTGTAACTTGCTGACCGTGCCCATACTGCAAGACGTCTTTGAAAAAGAGCTTCATAGCTCATCGGATTTCTCCTGCAGTCTAAATCTAGATTCTGACTCTGATGTATTCCAAGGCAGCGGTCAATGAGCACCACGCACCAAGGCGATTGTGACGTTTCGTGCAAACGAGACGACGGCGGTAGTCTGTGACGTCATTAGCAGAGCGCTCTCGCTGTGACGTCGGCGAAGTGGGAAAATGACGTTGGGTGACGTCAAACGTTATTTGATTTTAATGACATTTGCAAAGCGTGATTATGGCGTCACAAACGGGGAGTTATAACGTCATTTTGCAGGTATTATGGACATAATTGAATATACGAATAGGCTGTACCCTTCCTGGCAAAAAAACACGTGTTAAGATGTTAAAACAGCAAGCTAAAAACATTTTTCAAATGTTCTGCTTGTTCACCTATTGGCGTTCTCTGGTCTAACACTGTTTGAGACTGGGCTCTAAAGAAAGCTGTCTCTGGTGTGAGCCGATCCGTTTCAAAGACAATGCATATATCACCAGAGCAAGGCCATAGCCATGGAGTCAACATTAGGAGGGACCAAATCTGCTAGGGTGTCTGGGGGTCCCAACGCAGAAAAATATATAACTTTGAAAACTAATTTCCTGCCTAAAATATTAAAAAATTCACTAACACATGGGATGGATTTGTTTTAACAATAATTTCGAATAGTGTATTGTATTACATTGCTCTGTTTTTACTTTTTTTTTTTTACCATTTCTTGTTTCATTGTATGTAATGGCAGAGATTAGGGATTAATAAAATACAACCATAACCACAATTATATAAACAGAACTCTATGCGTTGATTTATATGAAGACAAGTCCAGGTATTGTGGCCAAGGTATAGCAATTTTTTTTCCATAGCATAGCATATTTTTATAGCAATATATTGGGGGGGGGGGGACATTTTGAGCATATTTGAATATTGGCCTTGCACCAGAGCATGTTTTTTTTTGCATGTTCACCACAAGTACGTGTGGTTAATGCAGACAGGATTCCTCGCAAAAGGTTTCTGATTCGTGTTTTAATATCTTAACACAACTGTTTTATTGCCAGGAAGGGTACAACCTATTCTTATATTTTGATACTGGCAAGAAAGGTCCCAGACGTCATTGCATCAGAATCATTATTACCTTCATCATCAGAATCTTTATTTAGACTGGATGAATCCGATGAACAACGAAGCTCTTCTTTCACATATGTCCAGGAGCGAGCGGCGGGTCAGCAGGTTACAACAGCAAACAATAAAAAAAAGCGATAGGAGTGCAAAAGAGTGAAAATGGTAAGCAGGTCACGAAAATTAAATAAGTAATTGTCTGTTTCATTTCATCATTCCGATTGATCGAGATTGGGCAAGGCTGCAAAAACAGTCCCAGACCACACCAAGATAACACACAGCAAGCCCCCTCAACAAAATGGCACGTTATTATCATTGATGATTTAAAGCTTTCGTGACTGCAGGGATTCATCTTATTGGTTCTTTCGGTAAAGTCACGTAGAAGGGAAATAATCAAATAATACAAATTTTACATAATAAAATACAATTCTCACACAGTGCAAGATCTCGAAATGTTAAGCAAGGGGTTGAAAGAGAAACGCAATCAGATGACAGAGCGTTAGATATTAACGACGGTGAACTTCTGCATGGGATTATGCGCATTCATTATATTCATTTGTTTTCTTCAAATATCCTCAAACATCCGAATTGCTTTCATCGGTCGCCGGGAGATTTGACGCCAATTCCGGTAGACTCCCGGCTAATCCGGGAGGGTTGGCGACCGTAGGGGGGCTACATGGTCGGCAGCAGAGGGCAGAAAAGCAACATCCACTGTTGTTACCCTACTGTGCTTATATGTGCACACGTCTATGCCCGGGGTGGTGAAGTATGGTCACGGAATCCCCCACGATCCCGCACGGCGTTCGGGAGGACCTCATCCAATAGCGCATTTTATAGAAGGGCTCGAATTTGTGAAATCCCCCTATTTAATAATATATAGCGCCGTTAATCATTACCAATTTAGATAAACGTAGGATTAATTATCACAGCGCACGCTGGGGAGTTTTGATTCTCGAACACGTAATGTTAAGGAAGGTTTATTTAAAACAGAAACGAACACGAAAAGGAAAAACAAATTCTTTGCACCATTCGATGGTACTTTGCAAGCCTACTGGCTATCAACAAAGATTCGTTCACGAAGCCATCCATATATACAGACACAGACACAATTTCAACCGAGAGGATGGTTATAAACTCAGCAATCATTGGAAAGATGTCATCAACCACTTTGGGTCATGATTTGTGTTTTCTTGTCAACCTCTACCGTCAGCAGTGTGGATGGGTATAGCGAGGTGCAATGCCCCCCGCCCCCATCATCTCTACCCCCCTCTCTCTCCATCTCTTCCCTCCCCCCTCTCTCCTCCCTCTCTCTCCCCCTATCTCTACCCCCCTCTCCTCTCTCCCCCTCTCTCTCCCCCTATCTCTACCCCCCTCCCCTCTCTCTCCCCCTATCTCTACCCTCTCCCCATTGGCTAACACACTTGGACTGCGCCCCTTGCCTTCAGCTCTACCTCTATCTCGCGCTTTACTCCCCCTCTCTCTCCCCCTATCTCTACCCCCCTCTCTCTCCCCCTATATCTACCCCCTTCCTCCCCCCGTTGTTGAACACACTTGGACTGCGCCCCTCGCCCTCAGCTCCACCTCTTTCTCGCGCTTTACTCCTACTTCTTGCGCTTTGCTGCTGCCTCGCAACTCATGTCCTCCGCCCAATCACAACTTTGGAAGCCCTTATAAGCAGTTGCATTTAGAGGCTTACCGCTCGTGTTGCGATCGAAACATTGTCGGTTTTTTGCTTTTAATTTAGATTTTTGTTTTCTATCTACGTGACTTTACGGAAAGAACCAAGAATGTATATGATGCATTGTCTTTGAAACTGATTGGTCCACACCAGAGACAGCTTTCTTTAGAGCCTCGTCTCAAACGGTGGTAAACCAGAGGACACCAAAAGGCGAACAGCACAAAGACAATGCCACTATCAGGACATTGAGGGCTTGGGGTGAGCAGGTACATCATGGGACCTCCCTGGCCATTCTCAAAATATAAGAATAGGTTTTACCCTTTCTTATATTTAGACATTCACATTCAGCTCCTGAACATATTGCCATCCGCAAGAATAAAATACACGAATAAAATGCAACAGCATGGAGAAAGTGTGTGCTTGCATTTACATTGAAACACAGAGGTACATATGGATGAGAGAACATACGTAGGTTAAATACATAATTGAAACCTTTAAGAAAGTAAGTCAGCTTGGTTAAGACACGCTGCTTGATGAGATGGATAATAGCCGCTGGTCAAGAATAATAACGGAATTGCAGCCAAGGGATGGAACGCGTCAGAGAGAACTTCCACCGAAGAGATTAAGTAATTGAATTATCTCGTGTGCAAATGCGAGGGGAATCATAATATTACATTGCATAATCGTGAAATGGTGGCGGCTTTGGA